TGCTTAGAATACATCTTCTACAATATAGTTTATAAAGGGAATAGATACCTCATTTACCAAGGTTCCTGGAACCACTTAGAGCAACACAGTTCTAATAGAACTACCTACATTTTATAGACAAAAATGTTCCTCCTTCTTATACCTGATTAGCAGGTATTTAGTGGCTTTTGCTTTGAAAATTCTCTACCTGCTCACAAATCTACTTTTCATTCTACAGCTATGATAAAGAAAATATGCTTTCCTGTTCTGCGTGGCAAACATGCAAAGGACAGCTTCAGAAATCAAACTGGGCTTGGGTAGCTCTCAAAAGCAGCAAGCTATTTGCTATCTAAACTGTTGTCTACTTCTTAATGTATTACTAGCATATATAATTCATTACCTTATTTAGCCAGAGGACATAGTAATTTAGATAATTTGTTTTCTAAAAATATGCTTGTATTATTAATACAGTATCTCTTCCTTCCTTTTCTCTATTTGCTTACTTAACAATTTACCTCATTTTGTACCAAACCCCCAAATCATTTTGGTGCAAAATGAATGGTGTGGTGCAAAGCAATGGCAAATCCTACAACAGTTGTGTCCAGACACAGGTGTGCCGGAGTCCTAATGTCAATGTTGCTTTATGTGCTACTATTTATACTAACAACAGTACAACTATGTCCATTTTGGAAATTTTAGACCTCATAAATTGTATATTGCTGCTCTGGCAAGGTTAGCATGACCTTCCTGTTTTTGAATTATGACATGGGTGGGTTTATATCTCTCTTTACTAATTACTTTGAATTATAAATGTTATTATTCATTAAAAATGCAGGAGACTGCTAGTAGCCTGCATCAGTATATACATGAACTAAAAATCTCAGTGTAGCTCCATAAATTGCCATGAAGCCTTGAGTTAGACCTCATTATTCCTGTCCTGTACGCATTTCTTATGAACTTCCCTCTACCTTCTGTTTCTGTGCCATTGAAATATTTTACTGAGAAATCTTCTTTAAGCTACACTTTGGATATGCATTTATAATTGGCTAATAAGATGCAATGCAATCACAACAAAATCCTCTTCTTCTACTGCCTCCCCATCACCATGTCCCTCTCCCACTTAATACACTAAAAGCTCAGGGCATGAATTTTGATGGAGGGTCAATGTAGATTTTGGCACATTTGCAGTAAAATAGAGATTTAGAACTAAGAGGAACAAATGAGCTTTAAATACCACCCAAATAATGAATAAAATGTCTTTATTGGTTGGTGTTCTATCTGTAATAAAGCCAAAGTGAACATGTAAATGATGTGGTCAAGCAGGAGGACAGCTGAAGATAAGATAGCAGAAATCTAACACACATTTTATTTTAACTTTTGTTCAGAGCAAGTAAGGAAAAAAAAAAAAAAGACAAGACCATAGACTAGGCCATTAACTTTCAATGAGGTAGTGAATCTCATGACTGAAACTGTCATGAACTTCCACTGCACTTGGACCTACTTGCAAATAGGGTCCCTTATCTGCTTCATGCTTTCACAGTATCTCTCTCCCAGGACTCTCTTCATATGTTATTTCACATGCTCAAGAACTGAACTGTGTATAACTGGAATAAGTTCTGTTGGGGTTTTGGGGGGTGTTAATTGTTTCAGAGCAGTTTTATCTCCCATCAGCAGACTGTCTGCATTTTTGGCAAACGGATTATCTTTAAAAAGACTCTATAGAAGAACACGTTGCTGAATAACCTGTAATACTTAACACCAAGAAAGTGATTGAGTGGATTGGTTCTCCTTACCAGCAAGAGAGTTCCTAAGCTTGTCCTTGTGCTTTGTAAGTGAACGTCTCTTCTTGGTCAGATGATTGTTCCACATTTTTATACTGTTTTCACACATCCGTGTGTAAGCAAGGGTAGAGAAACAAAACATTAAAATAAATATTTGACATAATACAGGCTTCTGGCTGAGCCAAGCAGTAGATTATTTTCCATGCCCTTCATCTGCAAAGGTATAGGAACAAAGAATAACTACCAGTAATAATACGTAATAGCTGCTGCCATGGAAAGTCTTCTGACTAGAGAGAGATCCAACTGCTGGTTATTTGCCCTGCTGGTCACCCAAGAAATGGGATTTCAAAAAGTAAACAGGTTTTACTTTACTTTACTTCAACCAAAGTCTCTGTGAAGGTAAAATTTGAAGGCAAATACTGAACACAAGAGAAAGGTGGATTTTTTTTTTTTTTAAAGCTACTGCATGGTATTTTTGACTGTCTTAATATAATTTATTAATTGACTGCACATGATGATACAGAAGCATCTTGCATGATCCAAGTGCTAACATTTGTACGAAATCAAACATGCTTGCTGTCTTGCAATTTACAAAAAGCTGTGAAAAAAACTGTCAAAAAAGCATGCTGTAATATTTTTAAATAATTAATTGGTTACAGATTTTACTGTAAAATATAGATTTAAAGTGAAGAAAACATCATATGAGCAAAAATAAGTGTAGGACTAAAACTTGCATCTTTTAAACACATTTCAGAAGTGCTTAATTTAAACCAACACATTAAAATCTGTCAAGCTTACCTCAACAAATCTAATTATATCACAGAGAAGTGTTGTGCAATGTACTGTCAACACCAGATAGTCTACACATCACTCCTGGAGAGTGGAAGCAAAGAGAACAGATAAAACAGTAATCCTGTACTGTGTGTATGTATTGTTACAGTAAATCACAATAGAAAGTGGAACAAAATCCAGAAACTGTAGTAAAAGTTTATTTGGTTATTAACATTCTACACAAAATATAATTTCTGTTTAAGCATAAATATAATGTCATATTTGTATGAAGCTATTTAAACCCTTAAAAGATTCCATGGAAAGGGAAACCCTTGAAGCAGCAGCAGCACAGTTTAATTTTGGTATTGAAAAATCAAAAGTCTCATCAGCTAGAAATTTCCCTGTTATTTGTGACACACACACTTAAAGGATGCACCTGCTGGACTTCCTGAAATCTCAGTAGCTCAGACTTTTAATAAACTACCTCAGTGAAATCCATGCATGGACATAAAGACCACCCTTACATTTCTTGACATTATTGCAATTCTCCTGTCTTCCCGATATCAAACTAATGCTCTTCAGCTGCTGGTGTAGCCAGGACTCCTCTGACAAGATTATTTCAGCCCAGATATGTTTAAATATCACAGCAGCAGTGTGCTGCCGAGTTGTCAGATGGGAGGTATAGCACAATCTTTTTTTCCCCAAGTATTTGCTCAGAATTGTTTCATATACAAACTAGGTGGGAGCTATAGTTTACACCCAGGTCCTGCAATACAGACAAATTTATTTCCTCCAGTTTCTGTTACTAGTTCTAAGGCATGGATCTTTGATTCTTTAATATATGTTTCCTGGGGTTTGGCTACCTTGGAACAACTTATATATAGGTAATGTGATAAAATCATCATGTCATCTTGTCACCAAGTAAGAATACTTTTAAATAGAGATAAATACTGTCAAGCTTATTTTCACCATTTTCAATGCTTTGAAAGTCAGATTGCTCACTAAGCAGTTAACACTGCCTCTTAACATGCAACATGTACCACCTCTCCTCACAGTTTTTAAGTGTAGGAATAAGATATACAAACAATTGAAGTTCACACATCAATGGTTTCCCCACATGAAACTAGGCACCCCTATGAGTGTAGGAACCCAGAGAGAGGATGCCAAACAAGTTGGTCTGTGCTCTGAAATTCTCTGTGGGACATAGGCCATCAGACCTGCTGTGTGGTTTTGGATGTAGTGTAAAAGTTAGTTCAATTTCCACACATTAAAAAAAAAAAAAAATCAGAATGCAGTCAAGCAAGTCTGCGAGCTCCCTTACAACACTCCAAATTTTGCATACAATTCCATGTTCAACCCATGTTTACTGAAACAATCAATTATAATACAATGGAAGTAGTGACTGAAACTAAATGGAACAGTCAGGCTGAACCTTCATTCAGCAAAGGCAAGGCAAGATCCATGGTAACACACTCCTTAAAATCATCTAGCCCAACTGTTGCAAGATGTGGAATATGTAAAAATTTTCTTAAGAAAGAATATCCTTTGGTGTTTGATCTTTATCTACTTTCAAGCCTAATCAGCAAGAGGGGAGATTTAAGTAATGAAACAGAGAGCACCCAACAAGCTCTATGTGATGTTCAGGTGTTCTACCAAAAATTATTTTTTGGTAAATTGTCTTGTTAAGGTTTAGGGCTGGACAGGCTTCAATGTTCTCAGACCCAGGGGAGGTTAACAAAGCTGGGCAAGAAGGACGGACCACCGTGGACAAAGTGGATGTCCCATAGTGCACACCACAAACGCAGAATTTAGGGGCCACAAGGACATCTGGCAGAATTCCCAAGGAAAGGAAGAAACAAATGAAGACAACGCAGTAATTGTGCTGAAATTGGCTCCAACTGGGTAACAGGGAATTCCGGCAGGGACAGATCCCGACCGACCCATGGAGCACCGACACAAAAACCCACCGGCCACAAAGAAAACAGAGACTGAGCACGGAACTAATTAGCACCAGAGGTGAGAGAACCATTAACCAGCAGAAAACAGAATACTGATTAATAAGAGAACTGTGTAACTTGTAGCCAACGAACACCAACCCCTTTGTTTGCTAAAATGTATAAACAGGAAAAAGTTCTGACAGTTGGAGCGCTTGATCTGTGGATTATCTCTGGATTAACCACCCAGGGCTGTGCAACACTGAAATAGATACTCGATGTCTCTCATTATTGGCTTCTTGCACACCGGGCGATCAGTCCGGTGTTTGTGGGCAGCAGTGACAGCGCAGCCTGGCCCGGCGGGGCAGCAGGCCGGCGGGCGAGGGAGCGGGAGCGCCCTTAGCCCATAAGGGCCAGAGGGAAAAGGAAGCCTCTTCCCAGCCAGCACTTCCGCCGCGTCCCGTACCGGCGATCACTTCCAGGTCGGGAGCTGGCTTCCGGCGGGATGCGGGGGGCGGCCGGGCCCCGCTCGCTCCCGGCCGTGCTCTGAGCCGCCGCCCACGGAAGATGTGGGCTCGCGTCTGGGGGTTCCTGTACAGCAGCTACTTTCGGTTCTGGCTGAAGTGGGTCCTGCGGCTGCTGACGGGCAAGTGCGAGCTGCAGCGCCTCCTGGGCGGCGAGGAGGCGGGCGCGCGTCGGACGCTGAGCGTAGGTAATGGAGGGGCCGGGGCCGGGGCCGCGAGGTCGCCTCCGAAGCGTCGTGTACGGAGCATTTAGCGTGGAAAAGACCTCCGTGATCATCGATTCCAGCCATTAACCCAGCACTGCCTAACCCAGCACTAAACCATGTCTCCCAGTGCCGCATCCGCACGTCCTTTAAATCTCTCCGGGAATGGTGGTGACTGAACTACTGCCCTGGGCAGCCTGTTCAGTGCTTGGCAACCCTTTCGGTGGTGACATTTGCCCTCATGTCCAACCGAAACCTCCCCTGGCACAACCTGAGGACGTTTCCTCTCCTCCTGTCACTGGTTACTTGGGAAAAGGAATCGACCCCCTTCTGTCCACAGCGTCCTTTCCAGTGGTTGTAGGGAGCGATGAAATCCCCCCTGAGCCTCCTGCTTTCCAGGAGCTGGAAACCAGTACCTGGTGTGTATCCCCAGAATTGTATTTTCACTCTTCCTTTCATCCCAGCAATCCTAGGAGAATTCTAAATGAGTGCCAGAACTAGCTTCCTTGTCTACTTACTAAGGAAATTCCAGTGTCATCAAAAAGTGAATCAGAAATCGTACCTTGTCCCCCAGAGTTTTCCCATCACTTTGTGTATATGCTTTTACCTTCCTTTACTAAAAAAAATCACATTGAATATACATAAATGCATTTTTTTGGAGGTGAGGAAGGAAGAGTGATTTAACTTACAATTCTGCGTGGTGAAGAATTTTGATCTAAAACAGCAATTCAAGAAACTGCCAAACATTTTTGTGGCTTTATAATGGATTGCAGAAGTGACTGTACTTCCTTATTCTTCAGTAATAAAAATGAAATAATGTCTGAGAACAGGAAAATATCAATTGACATATTTCTCTCCTGACATCTTTTCAAATTTGTCTTTGTTTTGTACATGTAATTGATGCTTTAAAAAATCCAAATCTACTTTCAGCATTGTACTGAAGAGTTATAAAAAAATCTGTGTAAATTAAGACATTTTGTTACCTGATAAACTGTTTACTTTAAGATTGATTCATTTTTTATTACATGTATAAAAGGGATGTAAAATTTTATAATATTATATACTGCAAGAACACTTATTGTCAATTATTTAGAACAGTTCAATTTAATGGTGAAATCTAATTTTTTTTTCCATATTGCAGAACATTCACTGGAATCATCAAAAAATAAGGTAAGAGATGGTAGAGATGAAACTGTAATAAAACCTTTTTTCAGTGACAGATCCCAGAAAAATAACACATGCATTTACTTTTTGAGAGGGGTGAACTGAAGACAAGTAAATGACAGAGAGAACTTTGAATTTTGTGTTCTGTGTGCTAGGTTTATTTAAGGTTTCTCAAAAATAATCCATGTCCCTTCAAACATTTGTTTAATTGAAATCTCAGCTTTGTTAGCTACATATCTCCTAATTCTGAAGCATTTTCTTAGCTGCACTTGTTTCAGCTAGATTAGGAAGAGTATATTTCAATTCAGCAGCTGAAAGCAAACAAGAATCTAGACCAAGTAACTCTCCAGCTTTGCATTTATCCTTTATGCAACTCCTATGTAGACATTGTTGTTTACAGCCTGACAAAGGAACTGAAGACAAGTAAATGACAGAGAGAACTTTGAATTTTGTGTTCTGTGTGCTAGGTTTATTTAAGGTTTCTCAAAAATAATCCATGTCCCTTCAAACATTTGTTTAATTGAAATCTCAGCTTTGTTAGCTACATATCTCCTAATTCTGAAGCATTTTCTTAGCTGCACTTGTTTCAGCTAGATTAGGAAGAGTATATTTCAATTCAGCAGCTGAAAGCAAACAAGAATCTAGACCAAGCAACTCTCCAGCTTTGCATTTATTTATGCAACTCCTATGTAAACATTGTTGTTTACAGCCTGACAAAGTACAAATCATGCTTTCATGTAATTATTGCAGATCTTTTATATGCAGTTTGAGCCAGTGCATTGTAAGCAATTGCCTTAAACTGATCTTTTTCCTCTTATGGTAAATAATACACACAACAGATACACAGAAACTGAGCTTTAATAATAAGGTAGATAATGTGTTCATTCCTCATGAAGTCCTTTACTGTATTAACTGCCTAGGTTTTAAGAAATGCTGTACATGTTGAAGAAGCTGAAGTGGAGAAATGTGTCAGAGATGTAATGAAAGAAAAGAAGATTGAACAGAACGACGCAAGGTGTGTTTGGAAACCTCTCTCTGTTCTCACTTTTTGGCATGTTCTTCCAGCTGCTTAACCTGAAGCAATATTTATATTCAATGAAAGTATTCTGAATGAAATCTGAAAAAAAGGTGTGGTTATATTCTCATCAGTTCTAGAAAATAAATTGCAAAGTTTAATTCATGCGGATTTGGCCTTGCTGTATCTCTGTTTTGCAAGTCCCTTCTGTTACTCCATATTTCTAACTTGTTGCATAGGTTGATTACAAGAACTATATAATTCCTTAGATATATTTAAGAGAATATAGTGATGCCTGCTTAATGTTTGCATTCATCTCCATAAGTAATTAGTGAGTGACAGGGAATAATCAAAATTTCTTCTTTTTTTCTTTCTTTTTGTGTGTAAGACTTAAAAAAAGTTTGGGGGTAGGTGAAGGTACAGTGGTCAGGATGATATATGGAGTTTTGTGCCATAACAGATTTTAGCTTTTTTTTTTTTTTTTTTCCTCCATAATTGAAGGTAATAGAGGCTGACTGCAGCAATGGAATCAGCTAGAGATATTTAAAGTATGCAAGTGTACTTAACCAGTATGCTGTAGTTGTAAAGATACACATAAAGCACTTCCTAATTCTGGTGTTTACATTGCATTAACATAAGAAAGGTCTTACCTGGTAATTCAAGCTAGAATTTATGGCTGAGTAGGCTTATTTAAAAAACTTCTCTATGTTTTTTTTTTTTATTATTATTTCAGGTTTAAGACAAATTTGCATATATCCTTGCTACAGATATCAGGTTATAAAAAACTGTATTTGAATGTGGAGAACCTAAGGAAGGTCCCTTATGATTCAGAAAATGAAGAACACGAGGAACAGTTAATTGAGGTGAAATAATTTTTAAAATACATGTGCTGTTTGGTTCTTTTCCCCCCTCCAAGTCCAACACCTTGAAAGAACTTACTGGTAGCATTCTTACCAGCTTAAAGCTCTTTTCTGCCTACAAACTGCAAAGTAGAACTGCAAACTACAGAAATGACACATTAAAATAAAACCTCAAACAAAAAAATAAACTAGAGTTACTTGCAATGGAGCTACTTTGTGTGAAATCAGACATAACAACAATATATATGTAGAAAAATAATTTGTGATGTGTCACTGCAGAATCACTACTAAAAAGATTTATAACCTTATGCACACGTCTAACTTTGTAAACCACTAGTTGCTAGATAAAAAAGACACTTGTTTTGTCTTATTACTGCATCCCAGCCAATGTCAAGGAAGATAGTTTGATGCTGGAAGATAAAATTTCATAATTATCTCAGCTTGCTGTGGAAGCCCCAACATTGACATGTTGAATTTGAGTATTCATTGAGAATTTATATTTCAGTTTATAGCTGTCCTATTACAAAATGATGCATAAATTAATTTCTGTAGTGAAACAAGTCTTTGTTTCTTTGGTATTCATACAGCATCTTTGTCTGTGAAAGAAAATTACCACATTTAATGTTATATATAATAACTTCCATAATTGCTGAAGCGAGCCATTGTAGCAGACCCCAGATTGCCACTAACAGAAAAAAGCAGCATGCAAATTGTACCCTGTTCAATACCTGGTGAATGGTTTCTAGTGCACAGCAGCAATTGGTCTGAATTAATATGACTTGGAATACTTGAGCAGCATAACATGGAAGTATATTTGTGCAGCTCTGGAATTTGCTGATGCCTCACGAGAACCTGAAGGCCAGAATCAGCAAACAGTGGTGTGACATTGGCTTCCAAGGCGATGATCCTAAAACAGACTTCAGAGGAATGGGGCTGCTGGGCTTGGTGAATCTGGTGTAAGTGAAAAGAAGTATTTCATTCTTTTTGTAACTAATTTTCAGTATCTGTATTTTCTATAACTAATGCTATTTCTAATAAAAACTGAGTAGAAGCAAATAGAAAGTACTGTGTTCAACATTTCTAGTGGCTGCACATTGTAAACATGTGATGTGGTTGGATAAGGACAAGAAGTGAGGGAAGGGACAGAAATTTGCCCAAGACACCTTATTTTTTTGTTGCCTTATGCTAGAGTTGGGAGGCTGTACCTAATTTTTCAAAAGCTTTAAAAATACCTGAATGTAAAAATTCCTACTGTAATTTTTGCATATCTTTGCTAAGCTACCTTTTGGACTAGGTTGAACTTCATATTTGATGTTCAGATCACAATGGGTTTTTTTTTACAGTATTAGTTCATGCTGAATATAATTTATTTTGCTACCTTTTCCTTGGTTTTCATTTTGTGCCATTTTCCAGTTACAGGTTAGTTTTCACCTTTAGTTTCAAGGTACAGATTTTAATGTTGACACGAACAAAGTATTTTTTTTCAAAGAATTTAAAATAATATTTTACTTTGCCAGGTATTTTAGTAAGCATTACACCAATGAAGCTCGTCAGATCCTTTCTCGTTCAAATCACCCAAAGCTGGGGTAAGTCGCTCTAGAATTTTTTCTGGCTGCTTCTATGTAAGAACTGAAGTGAAGACTGCTAAACATGTGTCCAGAAAGTAAAGAGGAAAATACATGTGGGCTTTTTCCATTAAAGAATGAAAAAAGGGTCAGAATAGAAGGGTGTGAGAAACCAAACACAGAAAGCAATTTCTAGCTGGGAACTAAGTGCACCTTTTTTTTTTTGTTCAGAATTGATTTGTTGGGACAAAAATGTTGCAAAATATCATCTTTATTTAACATAGTAAATGCCTTTAACATTGTAGTTAGTTTTATTTATAGTAGACTTAGATTAGATTTAGAAATTCATACTTGTTTTTCACGTTCTTACTGATCCTGTGTTGGGATAGTTTAGATTACCTCTTAAGGTCCTTTTTTCCCCTCTAGGTTTCTGCTGTGTAATAAGTACTTACAAACAGGTAGTTTGTTTAAATTTGTTTTTGAAAACTTTGCATATTTAAGCATTTAGCTGATTTTACAGGGAAATACACTCTCAAACCAGTCAGATATAATAATCTGATCCATCTAGCTCATTGTTAACTTGATGACCTACCAAAAAACAGGAGCCCTTCATAACTTTGATTGTAAATAACAGTACCCTGTGCAACTCTGTCATGAACAGTATATGTGAGACTTTTTGCTCAATTACATAAGTATATAATTGGCACAAATTAATGAATTTTTACTTTTTCTTCCTCCACAAACACTTTAACGGTTGTTTAAGAATTTCTATTATAATAATTTCTATACCATGCAACAGAAAACCAGATTCTTTCAGTTTGAGCAACAGGTTGAAATAGCCATTCCATTTACACTACAACATGTTTTTCACATCCAATTTTTAATATTCCAGCAGATCTAAGGATGTCAAATGAATAAGTTGAAGTCAGTGTCGATTAGCTTTGCCACCTCAATATTACTGTGACTTTTACATGGGTGGATGCACCAGGGAATGGTCTGTAGATTGGAATCAGCTCATCAACAAGTATTAGAGGAACAATTTGGACTATAACAGCTATCCTAAAGCAGAGTGTGCCAGGGAACTTTTTAAGTCTTTCAATCCATAATGTAAACCCATGATTTGTGTTGCAGATACTCCTATGCCATTGTTGGGATCAATCTGACAGAGATGGCATACAGCTTGCTCAAGAATGGTGCTTTAAAGGGTCATCTCTACAACATGGTCTCTGGGCTGCCACAGATGGAGCACTTCCATCAGTTTTACTGTAAGTATCTAGTACTCAGGGTAGGCCATAACATAGAGTTTAAGCTCTTTGGAGTGCATTTCCACTCTTTTCTCATTAGCCAGAGTAAGCTGTTTGTCTTCTGTATTGGAAATGCACCTGCTGCTTAAACGTTGTGCTGCAGAAATGTACATTTAAGGATAATTTCTGTGGCGTTCTATATTTTAGATACTCCAGTCTGAAAACTCAGTATTTGCAGATTTCTTTTTTTATTTATTATTAGAGCATCCAAAAGCTTGCTGTAGATCAGGATGGGACTAGTCCTTGTTTTAAGGGGTTGAAGAGAGTCTAAAGGATCACTCTAGGACTGGCTGTATTTTATTTTCTTCACAGGTTATCTAGTTTATGAGTTTGACAAGTTCTGGTTTGAAGAGGAACCAGAAAGCATTATGCACTTCAACCAGTACAGAGAGAAATTCCATGAAAAAATTAAGGGACTTCTACTGGATTACAATGTGGTACTGACCTTACAAGATACAAAGAAACCTTAATTCCTCTGCAGTATATGAGGTTCTGTATTAAAAATTGAGTAATTCATTTGGATGGAAATTTTGTGTGTTTCACCAAAAACTGTCTAACAATAGAACTTTTTTTTTTTTTTACATTAAGAAAAAGAAAATTAGCAAAATTCAGTTAAGGAAGCTTGGACAATCAACCTCTGTTTACAGGTATTTTTATGCTATTCTCCAAAGGGCAGCTTTTTGAAAAGGAAGTGAAGCAAAACCCAACCACCAAACCAACACAAAGAACAACCCACAAATCTCAAGAACCTCTCGATTGCTTACTTTTACTTTTCTTTTATACTTCTTATTGCAGAAACATGAAGCAGATATTTATGCTGCATCATATTTTTTATGAATGGATTTGACTGTTAATGGTCCTTTAAAAGACAGTTTAAGTTGTACTTTTCAAATGTGAATTTAAATTCCACCCTTTTAACGTAACGATTGAAGTTCAGCTTTTGGTTGAAATTATTGTTGTTTTAGATTTTTTGTGTTCTTGTTCCTTTATATATCATTGATCGTTCACTCAACAGTGTTAAACTTCTTTGTAATTAAGAGGTCCTCAAAGGAGATGTATTATTTGTTTATAATTTTGGAAAAGAGGCTTAATCCATCAGCATATTCTACTTACTTGTATTCTAGTACTTACTAGAAATTACTTCTGGAAAGGAAGTTTATCTATAGATTTGTACTAGCCAATTCCTATGCTTGAAAGTAGTTTAGTTTGCAAACAAAAAGAACCACGTGTCATCAGCATGAGGATAAGATCTTCAGGCTAAAGCTACTCTTTTTTAAAGTATTTCTGTTTTAAAAACTTTTGATTCTTTCTAATCTGACTTCAAATGATGAGGATGGTTGACTCAGAATCTGTTGTCAGCCCTTTCTTTTAGCAGCTAAGGGGGTTTTCTTAGTGGGAGGTACAACAGATTTTCTTTAGCCATTTTATAAATTTAAAAAACCTCCTTTATTGCAGCTGCAATCCTTATTTTGTAAAAATAAATTTACATCTGAGTACAAGTCTAAAAAAGATGTATTTTCCATGGAGGGGATGCAACTTTGATGTGTTTCTTAGTCTTGCCATCCTCAAGACAATCTAATAGATAGACCTTCATGTCTGTATTGTGACTAATTATTGCTTAGAGCAACTTTAAATGGATTTGGTATGACCATCACTTTGTTTTCTAAGACCTTCTATTAAATAAGTGCCTTCTGCTGTTTTCAATCAGCTTTTTATTTTGAGTCTTCTAACTAGATCACAGCCTTAGAAACTTGAGTAATTTGAGAAAGATTTTTTCACTGTATACCTAAATAGCTCACAGTGGCACAAAATTTGTATGTTGATACAAGCTTTCATATATTTTTTTTAATCATCTCAGGTAAACTAATTAGTTAATTTCTAGTCAATGACTACTCCAGAAGAGATTCCTGAACAATAAAAGCATTAAACACAATGAATGGAAGCATGAGGGAAAAAAAACCTGAAAAAAAAGACAACCTTCTGTTTGTAATGAGTGTTATTACACTACATAAGTATGAAATATAATATGTAATACTGCATTTCTTGGAGATCATCAAAACCCACCTGGACATAGCCCTGAGCAGCCTCCTTTGAGGGTCCCTGCTTCAGGCTGGGGATTGGACTTGGTGATCCCCAGAGGTGCCTTCCCACCCCAGTAATTCTGGGATTGGAATTGTGTAAGTAGTGACTTGTTACACTGCATCCGCCCTTGTGCTCTCAGTCCCTTAAACAAGGGGATCTCTGGCTTTTGGGGAAGCTTCTGATCAGGATTCACAGTACCTGTGTATGGGGTAACACAGGTCTCTTTTCTTTTTATGATACCTTAGGTACAGGCAAGAGTCAGACAAGTTGAATGTGTTCAGGGTGGGGAAGGGTTCATCTTACCTCTGGTGGGTTGATGCTGTTCTACCAATATAAAAAAACCCAAAAACAACAACAACACTGTGAAGGTGTGCACAGGCAGAGTATTTATGGTTTGTCCCTGGCTTGTAAACTGAACAGCTGAACTGACCAGATTGGATCCAAACTGACAATGGGAAGCCCAGTTCTTTTGCTACTCCCCTGGACGTGGACCCTAGAATACTCGCCAATGAAGAACTGAGGTCCTGTGGAGAGTATTCTGGGATGCATGTCCTGTGGTGCAGCTCTGTTTCTCTGAGCTTTGCAGACCCTGGACATGCCAAAAATCCAAGAAAGGAAGTGGAAAGTGGCCCAAGTAGTTACTTTCTAGCCCCATCTTTTGTCGAGTTTGTCTTTATTAGTAACTTTCTCTACTGCTTGTAGATCTCCTTTGCAAGCAAAACACAACTGACTTTTTGAATTCGAGAAGTGATCCCAATTATGTTTGGCAGCAGCAGCAAAGGAGATGCTATTTGTTTTCATCTACTGCCTGCCAGCTAGTTACAAAATTGTTTGAGCAATCTATAAAGGCTCCCCTGAGCTACGCCTGCAAGCTTTTTTTTCTTTTTTCCCCAACAGTTGCAAAAGTAATCTACACCCTCGTCTTCCCAGCACTGAAACTTTCACTGGGCTCCTTGTTCACTGTGAGACTGACATTTAACTATTGCTGAGGCTTCTAAAGCCCAACCATAGATCTCAGGGTTCCAGTCACACACCTGAGATGTGTTAGTGTCAAATGTAGTTCAAGCTTTTAATAAGATGCATCTTTCTTTGCTAGTTTTTTTTCTTCTTAAATCAGTGGGTGATCTGGGAAGTGAACTGTGGCAGTAGACCCAACCATCATCAGATGAGTGAGACATAAGGGAATACATTAGTTTGCATGTAGTAATTAAGGTGAATGTTTGTGTTAGGCTCCAGTACACCTTCCCAGGAAACAGTTAGAATTTGCATGTGGTTTTGTGTGATCAATCACTAATTCTGTCTAGGAGTCACTCACTATATGTAGACTAATACTGCTGTCCCTGTTTGCACCCCTGGTAAGTTAACTGTATTATGGTGGTAGCTAGAAAATGTATTGAAATAGGTAAAATTGTGTTTAGAGAAGGCAAGAACAAGGCTTTACTAGTCAGTGGTATTTTATGCTAACTCTGTTGTAAGGTGACAATCCTAAGGTTATGGAAGACTGGAAATGGAGGTAGGCCACTTTTCTGCAAATTGATATAATCTTCAACATCAGAATTTGTTGCTCACAGGTTATTCTAAGAGTCTTAAAAACTCAGTAAATTATTATTTATTAACCATCACGTTTTAAATACATATTATCTTACTAGAACTTGCAAGTGCTGTTAGTTTTCTAACCTGCTGCCTCTTTAAAACATTCACTATGTGAAAACTTTTATGCAATAGTATTAAAAAAAAATTAAAACTGGAGACAATGTGGTTTTCTAAATTTGTTGTTGTTGTTCCTGTAGCAAATGTTTAACAAACTACCTTCACTTTTGTTATTTAGTGTATGCTTGAAACATGGTGCCACTCTGTGAACAAATTAATCTGGAGATAAGCAGAAGTTTACTACAAGAAGATGTAAAATCTAGTCTTTCACTGAGTAAACATATTGTTTCAGAAGTAACTAAAACTTGATTGGAAAGCCATCTGAAGACAGTGCTACATAGGAAGAAAGAAACAATCTTTTTTTAACTGGTTGTGATACATCTGACACAGCCATGTAAAGAATAGGGCATTTTGTCCTAAGTGCAATAGTAAAAGGGGCCAATTTTAACACACCAGGTAAATAGTTTCAGTCTTTGAAAAACAAAACAAAACAAAAATGCAACACAAATTAAACACACACAGCTCCATTGATTTTCCAGATTTTCCATCCTAGTTTAAATAAAATTTCACAAAATAAATTACTTAGCCTTTTTTTTTTAGGAGTTATGATGAAAAAGTTGTGTTTAGTTAGGTGGGAGTTGAGCAGTCAGCATCCTTGACAATACTGCTAGTGACGTGTGGTGAAGATGTAGCGCGTGGTCTCCTTCTGTCATTCTTTGTGTTGCTGTAGTACCATGGTGACCCATCTTTGGACTGTTGTTTTCTTGTGCCAGTCTAGACACTGTCTTTCTCTAGGGAATTAAGAACAACCCAGCCCAAGACGACTTGTGGGCAATTTCTTCTTATGACAATGTGCTTAGACAGCTGCATATTAATAGGAATTCCTGTTTACCACAATATAAAAGCAATAATGTATACTGTGATGTCTGTGTAATAGAGATATTTACAATGGTAGCAAATAAAGAATGGGTTGGTCTAAAATACTGTCAACAGTCGTGTCTTTGGCCTGCTAGAAAATGCAGCAATTGTCAGTTTCATGTACCTGCACTGGGATTGAATGAAAGCTTTATCCTCCTTTTTTCTTCCCCCCATCCTCCTAACTTGGCTTCAGCTTGCTAAGAGGTCCTTGGCTCTCAATCCTGTTACACAGGTGGGCTACTGTACTCTGCTGCAAGTGGTAGACATTTATTACTGCTTCATTTCAGTTGCTTCACTTGAAAAGAAGCTCTGTTTTAAAAAAAAAAAAAAAGCACAAAAAATTTAAAAACAAATCCACAACACAAAAAAAAGCCCCTACCAAAACCAAACCCCAAAAAGCTCCACAACAAAGACTTTATTTGAAGGACCTGGAAGGCAACTCAAAATCTGAGCATTTTTGCTCAGGAGGAACAAAATTTAAAAGCTGGAGAGCAACTCTGGAGATAGAAACCCTCAAGTGTTGCTGGTTTGTTGTTTTTTTTCAGACATTGTATCTTCTGGCATGCCTTCATACAAGATATGTTGAAAAATTTGCTTGGGGTTTTTTTAGTTTATTTGTTATCTCTCAGGCTGCCTTTACTTCTCCTGAATTCTGAAGAACAAATGCTTCTGTTAAGGTACTGAAGTGTCATTCCATGAGAACTACAAGATCTCATCCACAGTGGTCTTTTATTTCTGTAGAAGCACAGAACAGGCCCTGGCACTACAGGAACATCCCAGTCCTCCAAGCTCCAAATGTCAGGTTGATCAGTTATGCAAATGTGTTATTTTAGAAAATAGGACAAGCAGGCAGCTATTCAGGAAATTGAAACTGAGATCTTGAGTACCACAGGAAAGAGAAGAACCAAATCTTAATTGTCTTCTGAAGTGACCATCTATCAGGAACATCTTGCACTGCTCTTAAGACTGACTAAGCTGTATTTCACAGCTGGTATTCCCAGCTCTAAGCCACAGTGATGCTGCTGCTATCAGCACATGTTGCCATTTTCTATTATTAACCATTTTCCAGTGAAATGTTCACTGCCTCATTTTTGTTATTATTTGCTGTCAGGCCAATTTCTGGCTTTGCTATCGAATAAATCAACACCTTAAGTTGTGTCAGTTTTGGCTGGGGTAGATTTAATTTTCTTCCCAGAGGCTGCTATGGGGTTGTGTTTTGGATTTGTACTCTACATAGGCTACAGATAATACAGAGATGTTTTCGTTATTGCTGAACAGGGCTCCCATAGAGCCAAGATCTTTTCTGCCTTTTGTGGAGCCCCACTGGAGGAAGCTGGGGGTGCCTGGAAGGGTGGGAGGAGACACAGCCCAGACAGGTGATCCCAACTGACCAAAGGAATATTCTAGGTCATGTGACATCATGCTCAGTATATAAGGGGGAAGAAGGAAAGGGGGTGCATGAATGATGGTGTTTGTCTTTGCAAGTTACATGTGATGGGGCCCTGCTCTCCTGGAGATGGCTGACAGCTCCCTGCCCATGGGAAAGCAAGGAATTCATTCCTTGTTTTGCTTTGCTTGTGTGTGTGGCTTCTCCTTTCCCTGTTAAACTGTCTTCATCTCATGAGTTTTCCAGCTTTTACCCTTCCAATTCACTCTCTGATCCTGCTGGTGGGGGAGGGAGAGAGTGGGTGCCTGGGGCTTGGTGGCTGCCTGGAGTTAAACCATAATGTTAAAAGTCACAATTGCAGCTTGAAGTACGTAACACTTGACTCAAGGCTATCTTCTAGTTGAAACAGAAATAGCATAGGAATGTTTTTTCCAGAGAGGATAAAGCTCAGTAATAGATACAACAGCTTCACTTTCAGTCTCACCGTAACACTCCTGCTCAGCTAAACTGGTGAGCTCTAGTCACAGACCAGTCTTTTCCCTCAGCACCAGGAGCTGACACCAGGATTTGAAGGGACACTGGAACCTCAGAATCTAACCAAGCCAAGTACCATGGCACGCTCTGCCAAAGGCTAAGCTGACCTACCAACTCATGTACCATTCCTCAGTATTTTCTCATTTGTTTTGCTCTATGCCCAACTAGTCCAGGTTTCTTACCAAAATGGGTACAACACATAAACTACATTTTACTGTTAACACCTAATTTCTGATAAAAGGCGTCTTCTAGCTACAGCATACAAGAACTGGAACAGACTGGGCACTTCAGGGATGCCAGAAGTTTGCAGAGCAGCAGCACTGGGATTCACCAGGGCACATGCAGCAGGTCAAGCTGTTCTCCCTTCCTTTAATACACTTGGACAGCCTTCTCTGAAATACTACTTCCACCTTCAAACAAGCTGTAGATTTAGTGTTTATGCAGGAGCTTTGTTGTGTTGCTGTAAGTATTCTGATGGAATTAAAACTCCTCCCGATGTTTATTTTTGTCAGTTACTGTATGGCAGCTACTGCTGACAAACCCAGTTACCACAGTTCCTTTCTGATGCTGCAAAATTAAAGGTTAGTAATGAAGACCCTCTGACAGGCCCTCCTCCAGAAGCTTCTGGAGTACCTAGGACTAGGACTAGACCTGGCTGCATAGCTTTCCAAGCAAAAGCACCATCTTTGCCAGACCAGCTGCTTTCAAGCTGCTCCTGTTTTCTCCCACAGTTCCTTATATTCCACACTATATATCCTACACCAGCCTCCACCATCTGAATTTATGACACAATACCTGACTTCTACTGTAACAGAAGCTCCAGAATCATTGTGTAAGAACTTACAAAGTGCTTCTCTCTTTGCAAGTTTTGATGTAATTTTCCAGTAGGTTTAATACATCACATAATGAGCATCTTATCTGTGTAACACAACTCGTATAACAAAAATGTGTGCAGGTCTCAACCCTCATCTCTAACACCTAGAACTCAGGAGCTGCAAGACTGCAGGATGCTACAATGAAGGAGGTAAATACCACAGAACTTCTAGCTGTTAACAGCTTCTGACTAAGCTGAAAGCCAGCCATAAAGAAATATTCTTCTCAAGTTTGGGGTTTTTTGGTTTTTTTTTGGTTTGTTTGTTTTTTTGGGGGTTTTTTTTTTTTTGTTTGGTTTTTTTTTGTTTTGTTTTTTGTTTTGTTTTCTTTTTTTGTTTGTTTTGTTTTTTGGGTTTTTTGGGTTGGTTTTTTTTTGGGCTTTTTTTGTTTGTTTGTTGTTTTGGTTTAAGTAGTGGAAGTTCTATATAAAATAGCCTACAAAAATGCTCTAAAATAGCAGCCCAAACTGAACTCTACAATTCACAGAATAAATAGATTGCATCTCCAAGCACAAAAAGAACAAGACATAGGTACTTCTGAAGCCATACTCACTGAGTAGCACACCTGCACATACAGTAAGCCTTTAAAAATACTTACATTGTCCCAAAAGTTTCACACCATTGTATGCTGGTCAGCTGAATTCTTGTGTAGCTTTCTGTTCACCAGCTCCCACACTGCTAGTAAAGAACAGGGCACAGCAGATCTTGTCATCAAATAACCAACTTCCAGGTGGTCCTGATCAAGTGGGCAGCCTCATCCAAACAAACTTGGAAAAGATCAGCTCACCTGGCTGCTACCTACAGCAATGCCATTCTTAAAGAGGACAAGGCTACTGGAGCAAAACAAAAAAAAGTAGCCTTGTAAACTGGCTCATGTTACACCACAGATCCATTTGTGGATGCCTCTTCTTGTTACAGGAGCCTGAACAGCAAAATAATTCTTGTCAACTACTGCATCCTCTACTGTGCGGGTGGGGTGGGAACAAAGCTGACAAGCTCTTAAAAGAAAAATGTTTTGGAGCTGTGTCCTGTGTGTCCCTAGGGGTGTGTATAACTTGCTGATAGGCTTAAATTTACTTCAACATAACAGACACCTTAAAAGAGAAATATTTTAGGGATCTGCAAACTTAAAAAGGTCAGTAGTCCACTTAAGGATGTTAATTCTTAGTGCTGAAGACTTCCATGACAGCTTATTCAGCTGCCAGACATTGTAATAAAGCCCCCACTGTGGCCCTGGCATCTTAAATTAAAACAAAGTAGTAGCATTCAAAATGGAGATTATGGCTTCAAATTAATATCATTATTTGATACATGTGTAAACCCATCCACAGTCACAGCAGAAAGGCTACAGTGCTTTTTCATACTGTTACCAGTAGACATACTAACATTTGTCTCTGTAATAAAGCACAACCACCTCATTTTACCTGTTAGCATGACTTTAATAGTTAAAAATCAAATCTGTGCAGAGTGTACTTTCATTTGTTCACATTACCTATTTGTGTTAAAAACCACTTAATCTGACAGTTCAAAAGCATTCTTTTAAAACAAAAGAATTAAACATAGCTTGTGCTAAAAAAATCTGCAAGTTACGTGGATGCAGTATTATACAGGAGTATAAAAATCAACAGTATTCTACAGAAAATATTCTCAAAACAGCAAATAAAGATTAGGCATGTAGGCATGATCCTGAAACAAACAAATATGAATTAAAAAACAGCTAACAAAACCTAAAAAAAAAAAAAAATCCCAAATACCTGTATAAAAAAAACAAGGATTCAAAGTGCAGGTGCTCCAGTTTTCATTTTAACGTTATTATTCAGTAAGTCAATACAGGATACTATTCATTTCATATAAAGTGACAGTGTTCTCAGTAAGATTTAAACATTCAGTTACATTATTTTCCAGATTTTTTTCATTACTGCTGCTTTACACTGTAGTAAATAAAGACTTATGCAATACAGACTTTTATTTTCTTAATCTAACAAGGATATAATAGGTTGGTGGCAAAGGTTAGTTGAAAGAACTAAGCTATATTTGCTGTAGATCCAGCCTTAGAAGCAGATATATATACTTTTTTCCTAAGCTTTTAAAAACAGACTTCAAATTTTGAAAAGAGACTCTACCAATCTGTTCTGGGACCTGCATACACTGTGTTTGGAAAACACCAGCAAAGCTTCCAAGTCCACTGGTTAGGAATCCAGCCCTGGGCAGGGTCATGCTGGAGATCTTCCTTTGGTGGCCCCAGCTGGGAAAGGGTTTTCTCTCTGCTGAACCCAGGGAAAGGCAAATGGGCAGAAACCATCACATTTATTCACATTTGCCTGTGTGGCAGCTAGGTTGGGATGGACTCCTCACTTTCACTTGAGCATACCAGTCTCAGGCAGAGAAGTTAGGAGTGGTCTTTCATACATTCAAGAAAAGTAAAATCAAAGCATATGTTCAAAGCCTCTTTGGAAAAAAATTATACTAAATAAAGTTATGCTTCAAGGATGTTGCCTGGAACTTATTTTCATCCGAGGTCCTTTTCAGGTTGACAGTGTCCCTTTAAATTTTAGGTTCTTCCCATTTTGTCTTTTTTTTTTTTTTCCCCAAACATCAGATCTCTATATATGTCTATTTTAAAAATTCTCATAAATATTGGCGCTAAGTTTACATTTAGAAATTAATAACTAATCTTTACCATTATACACTGACAGCAATATTAATAATACACACACTTCACTGACAAGCATTTTTTTTCTGTATTTTGAATAAAATTTGCATGTGTAACATTTCCCACAGAAAGAGTGATTATACTTGAAGATAGTTATGTTTGCACCCCAACATTTTCACATTAGTGAAAACAACTATGTTTTGAAAATACCAGGGCCTCTGCCAGGTACTAATAAATAGAGAATAAAAAGAAAAAATTAAATAAAAAACCCGATTGCCATTTATCCCGACATAGTAGAGATTTCATAGTCACTGGCCGAGGTTATTGGTTTACCCCTCATCCTGATGTTTTTAGCATTAATAATCCTAGCCATCATGGACACAGGCTTGTCAAAGTACCTGACCAGCGCTGGCTCAGTCAAAAGGGAGGCTAAAAATTGTTCAAAGGTGATGGCCCAGTCCCTGTCAATGCTCGTGCTCCTGCGGAGGGCAGGGGTGTGGTTGCTCCGCACCAGAACTGTGTCTTCCCCGATGTCCTCGCAGTGCAGCTTCTCCTCCTCGTGCGAGCCTGCGCTCAGCACCGAGTAGGAGGACATGGAACTGTCGTCTTTCGTGTCGTCATCCGAAATGAGCATGGAAGAACAGGCTCCATTGTCCCTGGGAGAAGAGTCTTCCAGCTTAATGTCTTCCATCTGCATGCCCAGGGCACTGTCGGTGCCAGCGGCCTCCTCCTCACTGGACACGAGGCTGCCCCGGAACGCCTTGTGCTGTTCCAGGGGGTACTGATGGTGCTCCTTCTTCAGGAACAGCTCTCTCTGAATGGCTTTGCTGCAATTATTACTGCTGTCTGTGTCATTGGGGGGCTGCATGCTGAAGAGCTTCCCAACCTCCCCGATCTCCAGCAGCAAGCTTGTCACGGCAGCAGTGGCATGGTACAGATCTTGCTCATTGGGGTCTTCACTGAACATGTTGTACATTGTCTTGCACAGCTCAATGAACTGCCCCTAAACACAGGGGGAAGGAACATTAAAAAGAGTTTATGTGACTAAAGTGAAATTTGAAATAATCGAGGTGCAGTCTAGGAAGCATTTTCTATAACTGGGCAGTCAGATATGTTGCATCTCTCAAAGGTATTTAGAATAAATTACTGGATATTTTGTCCAACATATTACAAATACATTTCTCTGCAGCCACAGGAGGGCAATGGAGGGTGAGCAGTGAGACACTTTGCATTAATTTTGGTGGATTTTCTTGTAGGAATGATGCTAAGCATAAGGGTTTGCTAAAACTGATGAGAAGTAATGAAAAATGAGGACATGCAACACTCCTTAGCTGAGAGGAGTAACTTGGTTGGATACAAGTTTTGAAATTCAAAACTGATAAATTAGATGGGAAGATTTGCTCAGGACAAATCTTCTTAAGTAAGAATCACTGCTCTACAGGAAATAAACCTTCCCTACATGCTCTGGAGGAAACAGCTATCCCAATAGATCTCCTCAGCAGCTGTGGATCTGAGGGGAATGAGACCATCAGTACAAATTACAAAACATAAAACACTATTTTCAGGTTATGCTTATTAGACATTAAGAGGTGGCTGGTGATATTCAGTGTCACATCCTTTGTCTAGAGATCAAAATAATGTTTTACCATTCCTATATGTGTGTATCTCATTTTTGGGATGCTTTGGGAGCTGAATGCCAGTTAAAGTATTTTGTAAACAATAAACTTCTGCAATCAGCTAACTGCTAATCTGGTAAAAAAGTATCTGCTCAAAAGAAAACCTTTCTTCAGTGTTAATACATCGAATATTTATAGATATATGAAAAAAGTTTAAATTTAATGAAAAGTAATTGGCAGCAGAAGTACCTGATTCAGCTTGGGTAAGTCCTTTGTGTTTTTTGCTTTGGATTTATTCTCTTGGCTCCACATTCTCAGGTAATTTCGATTCTCTTGTGAGCTCCTCTTGCCTATTGCCAACAAATTACCCAGAGATGGGAGGAAAAAGTCCATGAAGAAACCTCAAATTATTACCTTTATTCCCCATTTTCAAAAGGAGCATCTATACATGAAATGAAAGATGTAACTCACAAGGAGACACCAAGCATACCTTTGTCTGTTTTCAGACTCACTGTAACAAACCCGTCATCTACTCCATGTTTGCTCCTGCTGTCTAGGCCAACAACTAGGGAGTGGAGGGGCAGGGGGAGAGAGAGATCAGTGTGGGTTTAGATACAGACATTGTTTTCATGCATACAGTGCAAAATAACAAAATGTTTACAAATATTTACAAACTCTGCAAAAAAAAGCAGAGTAAAAATTACAGGAATAAATTATGGTTTCTGCTTTTACAAATATTTACAAACTCTGCAAAAAAAAAGCAGAGTAAAAACTACAGGAATAAATGATGGTTTCTGCCTACCCTTAAGCCTGCCAACAAATTCCATTTAATTTATAATATCACTGTTAGGCTGGGACAACCTTAGGTTTTGTCCACGTAGTACAATGATTAACCTGTGCTAACACAACACACCTCCTAGCATGATACGTGTTTGGTGATTATGCTAGTGCATCCTCTTCTGCCTCTCAGGAACTGAAATTGCCATTTCTAGACTATTAACTCCTACCTGTATTTTCAAACAACTTTCCTCCCACTTATAAACTGAAGGATGGGTTATATTTTTTTTGAATCAAAAAGAAACTTCAAGTATCACAAGAAATAGGAAGTATCACAAGAAAGGGCACATAAGATTTCAAACTGCTGAACTACATTTTGATGTATCTTTTGCTCTAAGTTCTGATCCGACTACATCTTGCAAGCCAATCTATTTATTCTTATTCTCCACAGAATTACTTCTACTACAACCACTTATGGCATTATTCTGCAAATACTTCTGCAATGCGCAATTCAGGGGGACTCTGAGTGTGCACATGCCTGCACCTCTCAAGGTATCAACACATATACAAATGCTTCATACTACTTTTTACAGAGAATACTTTGCTAACAAAGTTTAATCCAATTAAAACATAGCTCCCTAAAAAGACATGTTGATTGAAATGCATCACCTCATCTTTTCATACCCGAGACAAAAGATGCCTACCATGTGTACAGTCTGGTGTGATGTCCTCAAAAAAGTACTGAGTAGCTTCAAAAGCAGAGTCTGGCTCTTCTTGCTCAGGGGATGGATCTAAGCAACACAGTAAGATTCTTTCATTAAAAATTTAACCCTTTAATTAAAAACCGAAAGGTATTTCCATTAATACATTTAGAATGTCAATTTCTAAAAGTAAAAGTATGAGGGTGTGATGGGATAGGAATCATCTCTTTTTAACTCATAGGAGATGTACAACTGGAACTGAATTGTCTCATTCCCAACATCCAGTACTGTCTCACAAGGAGCTGTTTGCTTCTAGAGGCTGGCTTACCCATCTTCCCATGCCTGCTTCCATTACTTTCTTCTGTACAGCTCAGTGTGTCCTAAGCAGGGCTTGGTCTCTTTCCTACCTGGAAACAATCTGTCATCATTTGGAATGAGCTTGCCAGTCCTCAAATATGAGAAGCTGCATTCTTAAAAACATATTTTTTGTAATAGTTCAATTTCTTTTTATATTTTAAGTATTTTTAGAAAGTATTTGAAGTATTTTTTCCCATTTAAATTACTGAATCCCTCAGGCCTACTGGCAAGGCCTATCTCCAAGCAAAACCACCTGGGAGCAATCAGCCATGTTCAAAGCATACAAAGATGAATGTCCTCTCAAAGTTTTTAGATACGTTTACCACAGCATATACGTGTGCACAAGAGTTAAACTACCCAAGCAGTAGCAATGTTCTTAAAGTGCATGTTCAGTAAGGACAGCAGTAGGTTCTTTATGGCATGCGCATGACAAGCCAGAGAGGACACAGTTCCAGTACAGAATTTTCAGAACTGTTCTAAGGTGTTTTCATCCCCTCTCCACCCTGAACTGCTTCTCTTTCTTAGCTGAGTCCAGGTTTGTACAGCTCCCTGGAAAACACATCTAAGAAACAACCTGGAGCTTCCCTCTACAAACATTTGTGTCGGTCCAGAGGGGAAACCAAGAAGAAAGCCTGGGGACAGAAATGTGGAGCCAGGACATGCAGGAACATTGCAAACTAGCTTAATTTTGAAACTCTTAAATAGAGTGCATCATGGTAACATATGTTGAAGAACACTGGATTTGTGCCTGGAAGATATCACCAACCCCAGCTGTAACAGGCAAGAAACATTTATATGTGGAGGGAGCAATTGAGGGCTGTGAGGGTGCTTTCAGACCTTCCAAATCTGTCTGGTTAGAGTGAAAGCTTTCTTATTTTACTGCTGCATAAACAGCTACATTCCCACAAATTAATTTTTAATTGGGAAAGCCAGTCAGAACAACTCTGCTCCAAATTCCTGTTCTCAGCAAAACAAGAGCTATTTTAACATCATTCACTTACCAGGCAAAACATGCATTTTATACAGTAGCTTCAGCTTCTCTGTAAGATCTCCATGGCATGCTGCACCTAAACAACATTACATGCAGTACATTACTAGTCAGCATTCCGTGCCATTTTGTTTGTTATTGCCACAGTAACAGTTCTACATTCACTCTGGGAAGTACTGGACCCCTTTAAAGCTCAAGACCATGAGGCAGTCACTCGACTTCTAAGATCATACAGTAAAAACAGTAAGAGAACACAGACAAATCTACCCTGAATTTTGCACTTCAATCTTGGGTCCTTTCTTAAATGCCTATTTCATAAAACTGTCTATGGTTTTGGCATTATCGCTCAGAAAGGCCTCCAGCTGGAACTTAACAAGACCTTTTTTGTGTGGACTTCAAACTTTCTGATCTGAGGATCTAATACCAACATCACATGTCTCAGAGCAGTAAAATATTAAAACAAAAAAAATAAATATATATATATATATATAAATACAAATAAACAGCATTTATCATAGCTTAGCCATGGGCTAAACTGATATTCAGGCAATACTTGCTAGGGATTTTTCCACATCAACCTCCATTTGTTTCTGGACTACACTAGAATTACCTGTATGAAATCCAAGAGGCCTATTGAAGCCCCTCCTTCCAATTAATTAAATGGACAGTAGTTAATTTTAAAGTAATCAAATAACTGATAATCAGACTTTTTCATAAATCTCACTTGTCGTGACATGCCATCCATAAATAAATTAATTAATTTGATTGTGCAGAGATTTATTTTACCTTAGAGGTGACCGTGTCAGCGTACCTCTATGCAAACTACAGCGTGGTGTGGCAACTACTAACAACCACAGTCTCTTGTAAAGCTTAACAGTCCAATAAATACAGATGTTAGGCCAAAGAAAACTTAAGCACATGTACATTAGCCATTTTGCTTTCAACATGGTCCTTTTTAAGCACAAAACCTCGTTATGTTCCCATCTGGTGTATCACACCATGCATTCTCTTCTGGTAAAAGCAACATGACATAACCAAAGGACAGAATGGGCTGCACTTCTGCTTCCTTCATCAACAGGGAACTGCAAAATAGGATTCAGGGCACAGGGTGACGTGTAGTCTTGTTGCTGTCTCTGTTCTCAGACTTGAAGAGAACTGAAAAATCTCCATAGCTACAATTTGAGATAAATCTGTATGTGCCTCCTGATGCACACTTCTCCTTCCTCTTAATGCCTCCCTTTTCCTTTTTGCTCAAAATTAGGAAGATCATTGCCAGCAGGTCAAGGGAGGTGATCCTGCCTCTGAAAGGCTTGGAGAAGTGGTGAGGTTACAACTCTGCATTTTGAATATCCTCCTGCATTCTGTGGTTGAAAAAACCCTGTTTGCAAAACAAACAAAAAAAAATTACACTCAAGTACTCCTTGCAAGACACCTTTCATGGTGCTGACTTTGACAGGAGGCTGTGACAAGTACTGCAGTCAGCAGCAGCCACTGGAGAAGTGGGGAGGTGTGTGTCCTGAGAAGGGAGTATCGCAAAAACATGACAGGAGGCAGAAGGCCACTTGGAATCCATGCAGAGATCTCTGTAGCTTACTTGGATGTGCAGTCAACAGCTGTCATGCTATAATCCAGTGTGTTACAGGAGTGCAAGGGAGCTTTGTCAAGAGTGAATAACTTGAAGAGCTCCTAACCAAGGCTGAAAACCTCTTCTGAGCGGCACAACTCATTGGGCAAACCACTCCTATATTTGGACTACATTATTGTAACAGGGCACAGAGTAAACATAAAGAATACACCAGATTATTCCATCTTTGCTCAGCTGAGGCCCTGGAGGCACCTGAAGTAGGAGGTTCTTGAGCTATTTGTTGTAGGGACAATGAAAAAGAAATTGAATTATTCGAAGTCCTGGGGCATGGTGAAATATGCTCAAACAGGTCCATTGTTTTTTTGTTGACTATGCTGTCCTTCCTACCACTCATGTGCTTCTCAACTAAAAAAGGGGTCAGTGAGGGGGAAAAAAAAAAAGAAGGTTTTCAAATTACACCACAGCGGGCTTAGTTTCTGAAAAATATGAGATTTCAGAGTGAGTATTTTTTATTGTTTTGCCCATTGAAGATTTTAGTTCAGTCATGCTGGCTTATAGCCACATTTGTGCATTTTACATTCATTTCTGTTCACAGTGCTCAGTACTGGCCCTTGTTCTTATTACTCATTATTGGTTCTAAAACTTGCTGTCTCAATCAATAGCTGGTTGACTGTAACTAACAGCATCCTGTAAACTGGAAGAGCAGTTAATTCCTGGGTCCTCAAAAGGCCCTAGAGTGTTACCTGGAACAGTACCTCAAATACAAATCACTGCATCACAGGAAGCACTGGGATTTTTTGAGTGGTGTGAAGGGGAGGTGTGCATCCAGTTTTACTGTCACAGCTATTTTGCACTTTCAAGAGAACAGGTGCTACTACTTCTGTACAGAGGTTTTAATGCAAGGCTGCATTTGGAGCTCTAATGCTTAAACATACTGTTAACAAAGAGCTGCTGAAAACCAGACAGGGAAACCTTTTCACTCTCAAAAAGAATCAAAATATAGAGCTGGTGGAAATTCCACATTGCCATGAAATGACACATGGTAGATGGTGAGATGTTGGTCACTTACAGCAAACAACTCCTGCTATATTTAAAAAAGGAGTGGCTGGCTCCTGCCTCGTCTTTGCTTCCTCATGTTAATCCTGGGGCTCGTAATGTTGACTTTCATGCCCCGAAATCTTGCTTCTTCAACACTAAAAACATTCAGCCTCCCTCTCTGACCTGCACCTCCACTTTCTCCTTTTCAGGGGACTTCCAAACTCCAAACTGTTCTCTGTAGTTTTGGTTACTAACTTCCGAAGCAAGAGAGGTAGTACCTCACACTCTAACTATGCCTAGGGGAAATACACCATTAAGCACCTGTGCAGTTAAGTTTTTGTGCTGAGAGTTAGCAGTCGGTGAAATCCTCAGATCCTAATGGATCTGTTTATGTGTAGTCCTTTTCCCAGTGTGATACACCACTGGCTAATGTAGATTCACCTACTGAGATCTGAGGGAACCACTGTCACAGGATGATAAAATGAGCTGAACAGAAACAAACTGGTTTATCATGTTGGTTTGAAAGTGCCGTGGATCCTCCTTACTTAGTCCAGAGACGAATTCACGGAAGTTGATGAGCAGATCGCCATTTTCATCCAGAAGCCTGAACAAGCGGGCAGCCAAGGTATCTGAGTGAGTCCCACAGGCCCAGGGGAAGAGGAGGGCAAACATGCCCTTGAACTGCTCGAAGTCAATGCGGTATTGCTCCAGGTAAGGCAGGCTGGGGTCGTGCCGCTCCGTGGCATTGCTGTTTCCTCCCCAGTAGCAGCTCGTCAGGTGTTCTGCCTAAAGAGAAGGTAAAAACCGTAAGATTGTCAGCACCTCTACAAACAATTCATTGCTCTCCATGATAAAACAATTCCAAACAACTCTTCCACATGCATTCTTAAAACAATGCAAGATAACAGATGCATTTCAATTTATCCAGCCCTTCCACTTCTGGAAGGGGTTCCTCCTCTAACCAGCACAAAAAAGCATCCCTCTATTACAAAAAAAAAACAAACCAAAAAACCAGAAAGAAGATGAAGCAAAACTTTTTCTGCCTTTCAAGCAGATGAAACATGAAATACCTGTTTTGGCCAGAGCTGTGACTTCACAGGCTTGTTGTGCTTAGTCACCCTCTGCACCCTCATCACGCAGTCAAGTCAGAAGGCTCATGAAATCTTTATTTAATCTTTAATCATATGAAAATAGCTGTTTATTTGAAATATTTTTGGTAGATTCTCAAAAACCGTGAATAATGTACTGTTCTTTCAGTCTTACTGAAATCAGTGGAGGTTCTGGAGTTGATTTTGCCAAAATCTAATTCAAAACAATTCAGAAGCTTAGAGAAAAAGATCCCAGCACTGCACAGTGATTAACCAGGGAAGACTGTCTGACTTGGTCTCACTGATTTCATGGAAGACTGAAAGAAGGCACTGCAGGATTTGGACAACTTGGACTTCTTGTTACAGATGGGAAATTAACAGGATATAAATTCTTCATCATATTAAAAAAAATCTCGTTATAACAAAACAGAGGAAGAAAGTAATTTAAGACATTGTGCATGAAGGTGAACCTAACACATTTAAATGCTCACCTTTAAATTTGTGGATCTAATGGTACTTCTGTACAACCAACTTATGAAGACACATCACTTCGTGGCATTAAATTCCCATTTAATGCATTAAAGCATTAACAATGGCAAAATTCAGCTATACAAAAGTATTAACTGTGTGAGATAATAGAATAATTGTGATAAGTTCCAAAACTTGGGTCAGGTAGAGAGACACATATGTTTAGTTTCTAATGACTGATCAAAAGCATCTATCAAATTTATGATTTTATTTTTTTTACCAGTATGTATTTTTTTTTCCATGGACAAATCAATAAGTGAACTAAACCCTTCCCAATGTTTTAAAAACTGATTGAGTTTAGGATTTTTTTGTATATCAATAATACAGCAGCTAATTCAAGTTTGTATCAAGATACCCAATAATAATTGACAGACTTGACTTGGTGCTGAGAAAAGACAGAGTCCTCTATCAAAAATGATGGAGGCACATGATCTTATCTTCACTTAGCTTTACCTTGAAAAGCGCATATAGCTCCTCCAGTTCATCAATAGTAAAAGAAGTCTCCGTCACAATAGTTCGTACCTTTTGAAACACAACATTAACAGTTACAGATCTGAAATCCATGTTTCACTGAAAAGTTAAGTTAAACTTCAGAAACTAACTGAACTTATTATGTGCAAAGAACATTATTTCAGTACTGACCACATTGCGCTTTGTAGTATCTTCAAGGGTTTGGATGACTTTCAGTCTTTGTTTGAATCTCATTTGTTCAATTAAATCTGCCCGGATACCTCCAAATTTCTTGAAAGAGAGAAAGTAGTACATGATTGTCTGTGTATTAATATTCAAAATATTCAGCTTGCCTTTAATTTATTAGAAAAATTAATTTAATTACATGACATACCACAAACGAAACTGCTGTTAACGCATTTTTCGAACGCATTACAAAATTACAAAGACTTTAGGAGTATATTACTAGATTTTATTTTTCCCAATAACTTATTTTAATTTGAAAGGTCTTTATTCAATTTCAAACTCTCTCATTTCAAACTGTAATCTCAGTACATAGAAACTTCTTGCTTGGAAAATCTCTGTGAATAGATTGTTTCGTAAGTCCTCCTGCAGAGTAATATTTCAGCTTGTCCTGGAATGTCTCATAATCACAAGGGAAAGAGAATATTAAACTAACTGGATCTCTAATGGCTGAGACAGTACAGCAGTCCTTACATTCTGAGGATCTGAAACAAAGTAGCAAGAATGCAATTTCCACTATGAAAATATTCTCTTTATTACCCAAGTCTTATTTTCAGAAGTTTTTTCCATAATGCACATAACAGTGTCAGGGAGTTCCTGCACATACTACAAAAGCATTATGGGGGAAAACCTATTAGGAATAATATTCCATGCTTTCATATGCAGAGGAATGCCTTATCCCTAAGATTCATTTTTGTAGAAGCATTATAAGCAGAAGTTTCTTGCCATCCAAAATTCACACACTTAGGAATGCACAGATGATCAGCAGGAACAACAACCCCAGACATCAGCTACACCACATGTAAAGCATAAAGGGGTGGCAGGACACACTTTCATACAAGATGGATTTATATTTCCAGTGCAAGTGCATCTACATAAGCAGGCATATGTGCATATGCTGGCACGTCCTTGTAAAATGAAATTAATGCTAAAGCTGCATTTATCTATAAAGGTGTTCACCTTTATCATGTACCTGGGGAGCAAAAAGATCCTTCATGTACTTTGTGAGCATGTTGCAAATGAAGAAGTCTTTTGACAAAAATGGAATGTAGAATACCAGGTATCACAGAGGTCACAAAACCTTGAAAAGACAGATCTTTTGTAGCTCTGAGGCCACACCTATTCCAGTAATCAGTTTATTCACTGGTCTGGAGGGCCAAATAAGGTCTGTTCACATCCATAAAACTAAAACTCACGTAGTCTACAAAAAACGAAGGTTGCAGATGATTACCTTCTGGAATGGTCCTTTGGCCATGCTAAGTTTCAAACTGTACGAGGAGTTGTTGGAAGGATGTCACCTGTTCAAGGTCAAAACTGTATCAAACCTTTCCACAGCACAGACCTTGTCAGCTCTTTAGTTAATACGGCCAAGATCCAGATACCACTGTACACACAGCTGAAATGTTGAAGGCCATTTTTTTTTCCTAACTGCCTAACAGACAAATTAAATGAGTTAAACATGTAACAGCTCTGATTATGAGTCTACACTCCACAGACAGCTAGTGAGTTATGCACAGGCTTTCAAAACTGCAGTTATTATGCATTATTTCAGTCGCTTCTACTATAATTATTATGACACAACGATCTATGGCTTCTGAATTACATACAAATTGAATTAAAGGATAAGAGATTTCTTACTGAAAACTATTTTCAGTAAGTTAAGAAAGTACTGGCAGTATAAAACACACTTGTTATGTATATTCTCTTTTTTAAAGACAATTACTTCTTTGAAAGTGGAAAGTCTGCTCAATATCATTGCAGAGAGGGTGCTAATCACTTATTTACCAAGCAGAAGTCTGCTCAATATCATTGCAGAGAGGTTATTTACCAAGCAATCCTTTCAACTTTCACTGGAGACTTCTCATATATGCATCTGACAGGATGACCTAAGAGCTGGACAGCGTCAGAGCATGATGGAAAGCAGGTGTTCATAAAACAATTCATATATTGTGACTTGACCAGTGCCATCAAGTTCTCAGACTCATCACATTTCCATTACAAGTATCACAGGACAATCTGGAAGAGACAAGGTTTTCCCCTCTCCTTGGAGATTGTGTGTGTATGCTTGAAGGAAGGCAAAGGTCTCAAAAAAACCCATGTTTTCTTCAGCTGTAGGTCTTCCTATTATTTTTAAATTATAAATGTCTACAAGATTAAGGATAGATGGTCACCCAGCAAGCACTCTTAGCAGTTTAAATTATAAAAATTAACAAAAATATGCTCATTTAGTTTATATTTCATTCTTTGTAGCTGTAACAAAACTATCAGTGAATTCCCAGCCCTGAGTGCACATAACTAATCAAGAAACATAACAGGTGTTACAGGTCCCCTAAAGTTTTTGAATCTTAATAGTTTACTAAAGAATTGTTAGGGTTTTTTAAAATAAATTAATTAACAGCAACTTTCTTGAAACGAATTCTCTCTTTCCAACCAGCTCCTGCTTTCCTCATGGTTCCTCAATCCCCATGGTACTTGTTTTGCCTAATTATACTGAAGTGCACTTGGTTATTTACCAAGGACGTACAAGGTTCTGTGCTGCCAAAGCCCCAGAAAGACAAACTAGCTCTGCACAGAGTCAGATTATTCATTTTAGAGCAGTTAAGCCAATGCAAGCAATCTTCATGATGAGGAAAATGGCAAAATGCATGGGAAACACAACTTCACATATGCACCTTCCTGGCCATTCTGACATCTACCAAACATCCATCTACCCTGATATACTTTTCCCTTCAGTACAGAATACACTAAGGACTGCCTACTTCCTCATTAAATGCAGTATGTTAAAGGAAGGGGTATTTAGGGGCATAGGAAGTGCTTTTGAGAAAGCTCTGCTATTGCTAAGTATAAATCAACACCATGTCAATAGAAGGGAATAATGAAAAGAGAAAAAGAGAAAAAATCTTTACAGTTTTTCCTTAATTTTTATAAAATATGGGCATGTCAGTGTAACCATCAGAGATAGTTTAACTGATGGCTTTTTTTTTTTTAAATTTAAGGACAATTAAACCAGTCTGCAGATTTTAGTTGGTTTTGCAGGCTTTGTCCTGCCCTTTAATAGATATTAGTTATTACCAGCTCCTTTCACTTGAATTTTTTTTAGCTTTGGTGATAGAATATAGTGGTCCATGGTCACAATCAGCACTTTTAAGAAAATGAAAGGCAAAGGAAACAAAGTGTCACTGACAATAGAAAGGTCTTCTGAAAGCATACAGATTTCACTACTATTTCAGTTTGGAAAAGCACAAAAAAGCTTAAATGAGAATTAACTCCTTTCAAATTAAAAGTTCAGCCTTTTGTTTGTAAATCACTTTTTGGTTGTGGGCTGCTCTCCTTTGAGGCCTCAGACTTCTCTATGAAAACAGCTCCGGTTAAAAGTCTTGGTTAAAAGAAGAAGAAAGTCTAACTCCTCTTCCTTGCTCTATTTTAGGCTTCTCAGATTAGTCTGCATTTCTTTTATGTTCTTTCTGTTTCAAGCAAAGCCAAACTAGAGTACTAAATTCCTGTGTGAAGCAGAAGTTGTGTTAATTGGCAAGTTCCTGTTAAGAAATCTTATCCTACCTCATAGGAAGACCTGATTAGCCTGAAGATATCCACCTCAGGATAAGGCTCTACATCATCACTGAGCAGGGAGTGAAGATGAGGAATGGGAGGAAGAGTACTGTCCTTATTGGTTACGCTGTCCAAATATCTGGTGGGGGAAAAAAAAAAATACAGGAGAAACCCAAGATAAATTTGTATGCCCTCCCTTCTGATGGATAACAGAATACAGCTTACATATTGATTATTACATGTAAAAGTGATAGAGCCGTTCTCTAGGAAGAGATATACTACTAAAATTTATTATGAAAATATTCCAAAGTTCCAGAAGCATCTTGAAAACTAAACACTGCCACCAAGCTCAAGAAATTCAGAGGTTATACATGGCAGCACTAGTTCCAATGAAATGACTCAAGCCAATGAAATCTATTTGTTCAATACATTTGAACCTACCTAATTCTTCTGAGTCCAACTTAGTCTATTCCCAAAATAATTTTCCTTAACATCAAGGCCTTTTCTTAACATTTAAAAGGTAGCAGGCTGAAGTAACAAAACTCATGTAATCCACTAAGATAACAAATCAAGTTAAATTTCTAAAACTAGGTTTGGGAAGTTTATTTGAATGTCTTGAAAGAAAAATTTGTACCTTGTTGGTCACTTAGCATTATTTTAAAATAATATATAAGGAGTACCTTATGTGGATGAAAGGAGACTACAAGTATGTAAAGATTTACATATATGGTACTGATTTAAGTTTAGTATTTCAACAGAGAATACAAATCAGAAAAGCAGACAAAAAAAGAACCAAAAACCCAAAACCACAAACACAGAGACACTTAATTTTCTGTAATAAATACCTTCCCAAGACTGTCATGGCTTCTCCATCATCTTTACAGTTAAGCAACTTGTCTACATTAGCTTCGAGGACAGCGAGTGCTAATTGAAATATCACCTTTATTCCTTCACAGAAGAAACAATCCACAACTACCACTGCACTTTCAAATGGCATTACACTGAGGAAAAGAGTGAGGAACCAGGACAGAGAGATGGTGGAGATTACACCCAAATCCTGCATGCAGTCATAAAGCTGTGGAATGTAGTCACGAGCCAGCTCTTCAAAGACACCCTGATCCACCAATGCTCCTGTTGAAGATAAGTAAGGTCAAATTAATTCAGGAGCAACTGATACATTGCCATTTAGGGGAGGGAAAAAATCTATATATTTCATGTATATAAATAAAAAACCTAAGAATATTTTGCATGGTGCTTATGCACATTTTCTCACTTTCAAATGAGTAACAGACTCCATTACACTACTGAGCTATACCTACAAATTGAACAGTAATAAGTTTTTTCCTGTTTTAATTATACACTCCATAATAAATAAAATGGAGTAATTTGGTCTAGCACTAGCAGAAGTTAAATAGTGGCTTGATATTACCATTACTAATTGGAGTAACACCTTAGCACCACCTGCTGAATGAGGCCAGGGTGACTGTGAGGGTTTAGATTTACTTCAAGAGAACCCAGTATTATACATTCCCATGCCACAACATCAGTGTTTTAACCAGGCCAGGAAGAATAATTTCTAAGGCTGAGTATCTCAAGTATTTGTGAGATATAGTAAAAACAGATTCCATGATAAACTGAAGTCACTCTCTTTGACATACACAAGGAAGCTCATCTGACAACAATAGCTTTCTGATACTTGTGCCCTTTCACATCAGAGGTACAGGCACAAAGACTTCTACTGCAAACTGCTAAAGCTCCTGTTTCCACCTTACCTTAATCAGCTAACTGGATCATTTAAAACTCAAATTTTAGCCTCCTGTCTTTTCTTAAAAATCTACTTTGCTTAACCCCAATTTCGAATGCCATCTGATCCTAAGTAGGTGATAAACTATCAACAATAAAATTACCTCTTTAGAAAATTGCCTTTATTCTCTTGAGCAAGCTGCCTCATCACTAACATACACAGATGCACCCATCCATATATTTGTTTCAGTACAAATAACACCAGTTAATTTCCAAAATGTCCCCAAAGCATACCAACAACTCTTGTGTTGTAGTAGTCAGGCAGCATACGCTCGCACAGAGCCACCAGCAGCCAGAAAGCTTCCTCCTCTTTTGCATAAAGGAGGAGCACTGAAGTGACAATATTCATAGCCTAAAAGAAAAGGAAATATAATTATTCAATATCTAGCACTGTACCTGAGCAGAAAAGTGGTTAGGAAATTAGCTACATCTCTCCCTGCAGATCCCAAACTGTTCAACTACTTCCCTGTAAAAACAGCAGTGTTTTCCCAGTGCTCAAAGAAAGGCCTAAGAAAGCTTCAAGTCACAGTAAATTGTAAGGCTTTTCTTCAGTTTTGTTGTTCTTGTTTCACTGGGGCTTTCTGGTGTTTTCTGGGGGGTTGGTTTGTTTTGTGTTGCAGATTTTTTTTACGAAATCAAGATTTTTCTTCCTAATCAAGGTCTGACAGGTCTGCAAGCATCCATTACACTGCTACTGATATTCTGCCACAGGTGCTCTTGGGGAATCTGGGTCTGGTGCAGCCAAAACACCTCCCACAGCACTAGTGATGTGCCTGAATTCTCACTGTAGCTGAACCAAATCTCAAGGTTATTAATTACTGTGACAGTTTTAGGGACCAGAACTGAAATGTTTTTCTGCTGCTCCTCTGTTAAATAATCTTTAAAAATGCTGTAGCTATTACTTAGTACCATATGTGTTATTAAATAATTGATGATGGTATCTGTTAGAACTGCTTGCACTTACTCAAGTTGCATTTGGAAGTCTTAACAATCAGATATTAATCAGGCTTCTTAACACTAATGAATTTAAGTTTCTTCTTTGCAAAAGTATGTAAGAAGGCAGAAAAAGGCCCATGTGATAAACCAAAATTATATAGTAAGAAAGAATGATTTAGGACCAGAAACTAAAGTGACTTGATTTATGGGCATAAGAACCTCAAAACCACACACTGGGGTCAGCATTAACTCCACAGATATATGGCTGGGACTCACAGTGATATCTCCCAGGATGCTTTATTTTTTGCAAAGTATTTGGGGGTTTTTTGCTTGGTTTTTTAGTTATTTTCTGGTTTTTTTTCTTTTCATTGGTTTGGATGATGGCATGGCATCATTGAAAGAGGAAAGGAGGTTCTGGAGGGTTATAACTAATACATTGAATAACATTTCTTTATAAGATGTATAGATAAAAATAGATAAAAATTTAAGGCTGAACACAAAGTCTTTTGGTTTTGAGGTAATTTTTTGTTAATATGAAAATAACCTTTCTTCAGGGTCCATTGTCATTTTCTGTAGACAGCTCTGATATCATCTGTCCAGTTTCTAGATTTATGAGCAGAAATTATGCTTACAGAAAATACCTCTCAACATGTGCTGCTAATACTGCTTTTAGAGCAGGTCCTTGCATGACATCCCTCTGGCCTCAGCATTCCTGCCTCTCTGCAGCACTGAGGTGTGAGCTCACAGCACCATCCACACCTCAGTGTGCTTCACACAGCCAAACCCTCACGTGCATGACTGAAGAAACAGGACTGCAAGGAAACAACTGGAACTCCAGAAACTGAAGGAGTGCAGGGTATTTCAATTACCTGACAATATCCTATGTTTGGATTTCTGAAAGCATAAGCTGTCAAGACTCTCCTTAAAGCAGCAATACCCATCTCATTTTGGAATGCAGGGTGCTCTGGAAGGGAGCGGTGCAGATCCCTCTCTATCTCTTCTGTAGCAAGATTGTATTTTCCCATCGATTTTTCCACTAGGTCCTCATAATAGCCAGGATGAGTGGTCATTTCATTAATGGCTCCTAGGAGTAGGAGAACAGTATTAAAACCAGAAGAAAACAGAAGTCTTAGCAGGTACAGTACTCCAACATGATAATCTGCTTCCCTTCCATTCTGAATGTCACCAAGAACTTCAAAAGCAAATATGAAAATATTGTTTCTTTAAAGGTGATTAAAAACTTGAAAAGCATGTGCTTTGGTGATTATCAGGCCTTCATGTCTTCTCTACAGACATTTTTGTAATGAGGTTAAAATCCCTCTCAGCCAGAACAAAACAGGAGGCGTGAAGAACAAACCAACTGTGCAGTCACACGGTATCATGAGCTCCCTCTGCAGCTGGCTGTGGGTTTGGTTATCCTAAATAACTCAAAACTTGTCTCTGAGAAAGCTACTTGCCCTGGGAACAGAGCAGATGCAGAGAGTATGACATGTCAGCCAAAAGCAAGAGACAAAACCTCATGATTTCTATTCCTTCTTCCAAAAATGACACTGTCATCTTGGGCACGGCACTCAGCCTTAGGGATACCAATACATGCTCACAGAGTTGCTATGAGATTTCACTACTGACTTTACAACTTCTCCAGAAACAAAAATCAAGTGCCAGTAGCACAAAGTAATCTACATAGAAAATATGAGTTATAGATATACAATGAAAATTAGTCCAAACTAGCTGTTAAAAGGACACAAAATAGAGCTCTGCATTCCTGTACCTATCTTCTGAAAACATTTCTCTAGTGCCCAGCAGCAAACAGAAAACGTACATGACTATGTATTACCAGGGAAGAAACGGAAAACAAACTTGAAAGCATCATTAGGTCATCAGATAAAAGGCCCTCATGCTCATATCATAAGTGGAGTAGTTAGCCTGTGGTAACTATCTTGGGGAGGGTAGAGCTAAAGAAGGCATATGGTGATAAGTTATGAAAAATGCCTGAAGTAGGATTGATTTCCATATAACTAGTAATAAAATTCTTCAACTTCAAAAAAAACCAACTTTAAGTGGATACATACCTAGAGAATCTTTTATGGCACAGAATCCCAGACAAATATTTTCTCACCATTTTGTCACATAATGGAAGCACCTAATAAATGTTAGGGTAGCTTTTTTTTTATAGCAACAAAAAATAAAGATTGTGGTTCCATGCAACATGCCTAAACTCTGGAATTCCTTACAACAATTGCTGTGAAGGTCAAAAGCTTATCTGGATCCAGAAATTATTAAATAAATGGGAAGTAGGCTTGCTGGTGGTTGCTGAACATCTAGAAGGTTCCTAAACTGCTGGCTTCTTGTTACCGAGTGCATGTTCTGCTTTTTATGTATTCTTCCTTAATTATGTGAGCCTGTTTGAGAAATAGCATTTGCTGGTCTGAACAAAAATCTTGTCTAAACTTGTCTGGTGCTCGCTACCAATCACAGCCTTACTTATTCCAAATATTTTCAGACACTTATTATGTGCACCTTTAATCATCTTAGAAATCCCTTCTTCCCTTACGGTTTTGCTTATATCCCACAGACACATTCAAATGAAAACCTACCTGAAAAGAGCAGCCAAAGTTCCCCTCTCATGCTTTCTGGAATGCCCTTTAGCACAAGGTCTCTTGTTTTCTCTGTGCGATACATACAGATCCCTTGGCCATATTCAGCAAAGTGAATCTTCCAGGCCTGTTCCTTCAGGAACTCCTTAGCCTAAAAGCAAAGAAAGGCAGGCATAAAGATGCAGCTTCTCTTTCTAACACTCTGACCCACTAAAATCTTGAATGTTAAAAAGCCTGCAATATCCTAACCTTCCAAATGAGGAAGAAATAACTTGGCTACAGTCCAGTTACCTTCTTAGAGGGCTGCCTCCTCCCATTTCCTAGTTTCTATGCCAGTAGACCTTGCTGCTAAGAGAAGCAGTTATACTTAACAGCAGGAATACAATCTCTCCTTGAATTACATCCAACTTTGCTTTTATGTAGTGAAGTTATTTGTACTGGTGAAACAACAACATTTTTTTCTGTGAAAAATACTGCCTCTTCTTAACTGTCTGGCAGAATGAAACTCTTCTGGGTCTTAAGGCAAACATAACTGAACAGCTGTCTCTGTCTCTCTGGGTGCCTCTCAGAAACCCCGGCCAGCCCCGGGTCAGCAGAAAACGGGGCGGGGGGGCAGCCCCGAAGCGGCGGACAACGGGGCGGGGACGAACGACGACACTCTCTGGCGCCCCGAGGGTACTGAGGGCAGCTGGGCTAGTCGCCATTGCAGCAGAGGAGACGCTGGAGGCATCGGTAGAGGATAAAGGCCGACTCTGAACAGGGGGCCAGTCCAAGGTTTATTCGGAGCTCCCCAGGGAGCCCCACACCTCAGTATTGCGCCTTGCTCAGAGTAAAACAAATGGAATCTCAAGGTTACATTTTAAAGGAGGGGAGGAAACCGAGGGTAGATGCATTTGCTGACCAATAAAGGCCCTCCAGGGATACAACCTTAGGGACGGACATTTGGGATAGCGAATAAAATAATACTTTGGGGGCTGCCCCCTGACCTCGGACTAATCACTCGACGGCTTTGACCGAAAGTTCTAGATAGAGGGGATGGGATGCTGAGTGACTGACAGAGAGCCAGGGCGGGGATTTGGGGATGATCTCAACACAGGAGAATGATTAGACAGGTAGAGGGAGGGGATACAAAAAGGGGTACACCATTTGGGGAAAATAAGGGGATACAAAACCAAAACCATTACAAAGTATTACAAAGTATAAAAGCACACTAAAACAAACAGCCTTTTCAGTCAGGTGGAGCACTCAGAGATGTATTTTACCAGCTTAGGGTTGAACTCCTCAGGTGACCTGCGCCGATACATCGTCATTAAAGCTTGAGTTGCTGTTGGAATACCATTATCATTGAGGTTGAATTGTCGCTCTCCCTCCGACTCAGAGCTCAGGCTTTTGTGAGGGCTGGCAGAAATTAAACTACTTGACCTTGTAAACACCTGTAGAAGCAGTCACAAGCAATACAGGCATAAAGATGAGCCAGAGTCTGGACTTTTTACTTCACTTTACTTCAAAATATATACATGCTAATGGTTAACAAAAACATAAGCCAGCAGAAATTAGACCAGTAGAGAATAATGAAACAGCTTCCAGTTTCTCAAGAGCTCTCCTGAAACACAACCAAATTCTAGAACTAGAATTGCTAGGGTAATGTTAACCCTAAGTAGCCCTGAGCAATTGAACCAGCTCCCTTGATCTGTCAACATCATAAGACTGCTAGATTGTGATGTGGAAGAAAAGTATTTTGAAGAATTTTCTAACTTCTCAAACAGCTTTGAAACTGCATCACAGTAAAATCTCATGGAGCAGTTCACACCAAATGCCTGAAATTGCAAGTCAGTCATGCATATCTAGACATGCAGTCACATTACAAATTGTAGTAAATGCTTACAATTAATTTGTGTTTATAATTCAGTAGGTAGAATACTTAGATCCATTTACAGCTTAAGTTCCAGCACTATACATGCTCTGGTATACAACAATACAGTAATTATACCTCACCATCAACAAAGCAAGCAGAAAAATTATTTTAAGACACACATGACAAACAGGGTAGGGCTCCTCAGGACAGTACTAACGTATGGCTTAGGACAGACTTGGAATGTGAGATCTACCTACATAATACCAAAATTATATACCACAAAAGCCTCTTCTACTTTGACATCTGAATTACTATACACTGCAGGGTTTAACAGAACTGATGAGGTTGTTATATGATCTGAATTTCATACATAAATGCTGGAATTCAGCAGAAGGCTTGACATTCAAAGTGTCTAACTGTATCTAATGATAACTTTTAAGAACTATTTACTTTGCACACATATCTAAGAAGGTGGTTCAGAATAGGGCCATTTGATGTTCAGAACAGGGCTGATTTTTTGCTGTTAGGTCAAATGTTCCAAAGTTCACTAGCAGTGCACATGCAAACCTGCTCAGCTCAGACATGGTTTTCAGAAGAATCAAAAGATGGGATTTAGCAGCTAAAGTCTTGAATAAAAGGAGTTTCATGCCAACTGATAATTTCTTCAAATTATTAAAATTCCAGAATTACATTTGAGTTTGACAAGTAAATAGATATTAAAAGTACCATTCAATTAAACAGTTAACTATGACACTTTCCAGCAAGACACATGGTCATTTCAGAATCTGACAGCAAGAATGAGAGTAGCTCTTCCTCAGCAATGATGATTTCTCTTAGGTTTAACATGAAAAAGATAGATATCCTAACTGACAAATTTTAACACTTCAAGTCAAAGGCATTAACACAAAAGAGGTCACATTTCTGTGCCTAAAGGGTTAGCTTCACAAAAACTTAAAGGTGTTTCCTCTCCCCACACCAGTTAAAATCCTCTTCTAGTAAATTATTCATGTTCTTTCACATACCTCATCATCTGAGCTGATATAGCTTCCAGAAATATTTTTATCCAAGTATATTTTTGAAGTGGTTTGTTGCAGGAAGTCTGAGATCCTCTGTACAAGGAAGTCTCTGTCTTTCAAGTTGGCAAAGAGGAATGTCATTCTGTTTTTTGTGCTGATTGACAGTGGGCTGGGCAGCACACTGGAGCTGTCTGCCTTTTCCACTATTGTCACCTAGGAAGAAACAGTTGCTACACCTTAAGATCTTTAGTTAATCAAGCTGCTTGGTTTAAGAAACCATCTTAGTACAACAAACTCATGCTCCTTCCACCCTTATATCAAATCCCTATGGACACCCCCGCTGCTGCCAGCGAAGCCTAGGGGGCCCTCCGGGGACACCCTGGGGAGCCCCCCTCCCTCCAAACGAACCACATCACACCCCTTTGCCAGAAAACATGGTTTGCATACAAGGGCTTAAAGCCTGAAAGATAAAGGCTGTAATCCTTCAAAAAACTGGTTTCAATACATATTCCATCAAAACTCCCCTGCACTACTTAGCTGATTTTCCTCAGACCATATTCTAAAAGAATCAGTAAAACAAAATTTCATCTGTGGGATACAAATCTATCAGCTTTTTTGTAGGACTTCCAAATCCTTCTCTCGCTTCCTAACATCATCACACAGGCCACAGAAACCCTGGCCTACCTTTTACTGCCAATACATGTGAATAAACCATTTTTGAGATGATTGCTCCTGTACAACTGTACCATAGCTGAGTACTGGGAAAACAGCTCCATAGTGTTATTTTAACTGCATTTTCAAAGTACACAGGAACTTGCAACAAAGGGAAATTAACCCCATGTCTTCCCTTACAAAGGAAAATATCTAACCCTGTGAAGTAAAGGTTTCTGTATGGCCTTCAATTGTTAGGGAAACAGTCACTAATCTAACTGAACTCCAACCTGTAAACAGTACTCATACCACAATCTACTGAGTACAGGGAACAAGTTCCTTGGTAAGGCACATTAACACAAAGAAACCTCAGGGATAAGTCATACATACACTGTTGATTCATTATGTAACAGTTGTGTGCCCTAAACATTACCAACTATTACCTTATGAACATATCAATCCATCAAGTTTGTGCAGTTCATACATTGAACAAAACACAAATCACAATTATAAATACTTTTAACTACTGCTTTTATTATTTTAGATAATTTCTTAATGAAAACTGACTTACTGCATTCAGAATAGAAAGCAGGATATTTAATTTTGCTAGGACTTTGACTTTTGCTCCTTTAACCCTTTCAAAAACAGAAATCAGTGGTAAGACATGAGTACTACAATATTGATAGCTCTAGCTAAATGGATAGGATAAACATTTTTCATGCATACTCTTTGAAGACTTAAAGACTGCAGTGCACTGCTCAGAGGCTAAACCACTTCTCTGTTCTCCCCACTTCCTTTTATTTTTCTGTTAACTACAAATCTACTTGTTTACTTAAAGGACTTCACTAATAGCATATTAAAGTTAGCTAAAAAGGGTTCCCTACGTTTCCTGTTCCACTTAAAAGCTGTTCAAGTGCAATCAGCACACAATACAGACAAGTTTTAAAGACACAGGACAGACATTATTAAAGCAAGCTCAATTATAGCTCTGCTATAATGAGAGCTGATATCCACTTATTTCCTATTCAACAGAGACACACAGATATCTGAAGTGCTTTGTCTTGGAGAGGGCACCTGCTGAAGGTGCAGTGAGCAGTGCAGTCAGCCACTGAAACACATCTTTCCCCTTCACAATTTCTTGTCTCATCTGTCAAAACACCTCCAGGATATTACAGAACACTGGAATTAACTTAGGGTTTAACCCAAAGCTTTAATTAGATAGAAAGCTTTCCTTTAATTACTAAAGGTACTGATCAGATGTTCTGAGGACTGTCATTACCCCCCCCGGTTTACTGTTCTCTTTCCTGGTGCAGAGACTTGAAGCGGTTCAAACAGAAGCACTTATTCCTTCACCTACTTCTGTCTCTTAAAGCTTTAGAGCTGCTCTGAATCCCATGCTGCTACGACTGTGGCTATCAAAAGCAGTTGCTGAATCTGCATCCAGGAAAAGAGGTCCTGTTAAATGAAGACTTTGACTCCTCCTCCACCACTTTACCTGCAGGACTGCCATTCCCTTTGATTTTCAGACAAACAGTGCAACCACAATTGAATGTCTCATCCCAAATAACCAAAGTAGTTGCAACAAGCTACTGAGAAGCTGTACTTCAAAATTTCTGAACATGTACTTGTTTTACTCTTAATGACTTGCAGGAGTGCCTTGAAATATTCTGTGGTTCTTCAGTCAAGCCTAACCGTCCTTGGTTACATCAGCTTTGCTACTATTTCCAAAACTTACAGTTTTCCATTAATCCACAAATCAAGTCGACCATAAAAAAACTCCCCAATATAATTATTTTTTACTGGAACAAACAAACTATTCTTACTGATAATCTGCTTTAAGTAACCAGCTTTAAAAAGGGAAACACACCAATTTGAAAAATACAGACAAAATATTTTCCACCTACAAGAATAAACAATTGCAAGTCTGTATGAAGAGGCAGTTCAAAACTTTAGGATTATCAATCTTTTTACATCAGAAAACAGCAAATCTTATTTGACAGATTCTTTAACAGAATCTCCACTTATCCAATCTAGGAGGTTTCACCCTCCACTCCCACCTGTGAGGCACAAAAAATGTAAAATTTGGCTGTAAAGTTATGAGAGAAGAAGAACTCACAAGGGTTATGAAAATTGATGGAAAAAATTCCATGTGAGCTTTAGTAGCATGAATTGTGAACTAAGATACACAGTCATTAAATATTACTTAGAACACATCAGTATGGCATGCTCACAAGAGATTAAAAGGATGAAAAGAGGCTTTTCTCCAAAAAGAATCCAAAAATAAATAATAGTAAAAAAACCCCACCAAAATAAAAAAGTTCAAAGCTAAACTGAAATATCTAATAAGACACTGCTTTATTACTTGCCCTATAAATTAAAAAATACAAGTATTTACCTCTCGAAGAGGGATAATAAGGCTGCACAAGTTCTCTTCTTTACTAGTAAAGCAAATGTAGTTTGTAGAAACAAACATCTGACCCAAAATATGCATTTTGTTGAAAGGAGTCCAAAGAGTACAGTCTGTGTGTCCATCTAATTTCTCATCCTTGGGAAGTCGGAACAATGCACGGTATCTCTCGCTCTTTGCTCTGGCATCAAGATCCCTTAAAAAAACCCACAGAAAAGTTTTCTTGGTTTAAGGAATGTATTAATGCATTTTAAGATGTATTTTACGCAAATCATTGCAAGTTACCTGCAACACATAACTCAGCCAAGCTAGGAGTATACAGCAAAAAGTTGGAAATAATTTGCCTATAGTGGAGATACAGTTTTCACTTTTGGAAGGTTCTGAAACTACACGAAGAAAAAGTCAGCCATGAAGGACTCAGACATTCATCCTTACTTCTCAGAGAGGAAAGACTGAGTGAGCTTTTCATATTCAGCCATACTTTCTGAGAATACATACAGTGAATCCATTTTTTGCTAATAGCAATAAAAAATGCTTCTTTTAGGCTTTTTTATGAACATTATAGAATTCTTAAGGTTAGGGTTTGGTAACAATTTCAAGACTTAGTCTTGATAATGCATTCAGTGCAAAACATTCAACAGTAAGGACAAACAAAAGTGATATAATACATGTCAGATGTCACTAAATAATGAGAAATATAAACAAGGACTGGCTATAATTCTGTATAGTACACTAACATGAGCAACATATGAAGAAAAAGTGAAAAAGAAACTAACAAGCTGAAGTGTGCCATAAAAGGAGAAGAAGTATTTTCCAGATAACTTTTCATCCCTTAGAATTTTATGTTAATTGTTGTATCGCTTTTACCAAAACTATATTCCAGATAGAATTAAAAATCTAGATTCTAATTTCTCAATTCCAGTGATAAGACCAAGTATGAATGCTAGGCACAGTTCTTAATAACACATTAATCCCTTTATTACCATCCCATACAGACATAAAATGGCCTTACAACATATACCAAAATGTGGCCAGTGTCATGAGTGTCAGGAGATACACTAAAGAGCTTCTGAACAAATGAGCATTTGGCTCAAGAAAGTATAATTTTGCAACATACTCATATTCAGGTGTTTTCCATTTCCTATTTCAACAAGATACAAGGTACTTATATTTGAATAATTATTCACATTTTGTTGTAATAAATCATTCCTTCTGGAGTAGCAGTAAATGGCCACAACATTAGAAAACCTTTGGACAAAATCCTGCAAGTAAAAGGACTGAGGAAGGAACAGATGAGTAAGAGCTGATGCTACCTACCGTTTTAGAGCAGATACTTTTTTGGGGGATTTCTTTTTCAGTTTGGGTAATGACCTGTCTTGTTCAAATCCTTCATTGTCCAAAAGCTGTCGCATAGCTATATTGGCAAGCTGTTCCATTAGTTTAAATGTCTCACTGATATTAAGGAATACTGAGAAGAAATGTTCACTTGACCTTGTGCTCACTTTGATCATATCAGGAAAGAGCAGTGTAGCATTCTTCTCAAGCTGAGTGATATCAACCCAACGGATAACTAACTTTGCTGAACAGGAGCAAACAAAAAAACAAGATTCAGTATAAAAATGAGCATATTCAGGAGCTTTTACCTTCCTCTTCCTATAAAATGCATTCAAGCAACTTTTTCTAGCATCCTGAAAAGTTGGGAGCACAGCATAAATAGACCAAGTTTGTACAAACAAACCACTATCACCTGACAAACAGGAGACAAAAGAGTTTAAATATCATTTACTTCATTTACGGAACACCAAACAAGCATTACAAAGCTCAGTAAGCTAACATGATGTATCATTGTCACTGCACTTGCTCAGACTCTGATGTCCTCTTTTCCTATGGAAGCAAAGAAACACAGTCTAAACACATCAGACAGGCTTGTATCACTTTTATACAGTAAAACGTTTCAAATATTACAGCCATGACAGAACCTACACTTTTCTCCCAGAACCAGTACAGGTGGTGCCCTTAAAGCAGGGGCTAAATCCCAAGACTGATCCATTGCCCATAACGAAATACTGCTGAATTGTTCACCTCCACCATGCTTTGAATTAACTCCCTATAGAGCAGAGTGGTTGCATCCACACTATGCAGTTCTTTATTCTGGGTCTACTCTGAAACCTTTCTGATGTTCTGGTGTTGAACAAATGTAAATATGTCATTTAAGGTTGCAAAGTCTGCCAGAGTAGTACTTGAGGATTGTGTAAGAGCAGAAGAGAAAGACAGAACTGGTGTGATTTTGTCCCTATTCCCTTTTGGGCACAGCTTCTGAGGTGAACCATGTCCCTAGACAATGCCAAGTACTGTTTTACAGAGAACTACTTTGAGAAAGACCAAACAAACAAGGGAACAAGCACATAGTTAAGCAGTGTGACAAATTAGGGAATTGCTCCCTGCTTCTCTTTTCCTCAGTAGTGTCTTTGTACCCTCAGTGATAAGCAGTGAAAAGTAGCAAGCTACAGGAGATTTCCTAACCATTTTTAGATGCACAAATTACCGTTCCACTGAAAACATACCTTCCCTGCCCATGAGAAAAGAGTAAAAGCAAAGGTGATTAATGCTGAGATACACCCAGCCTTGACGGGGAACCTTCCCCTTCCAGTAACTGCAGGAGTAGTAGTTCACTAATTTCTCTTCCTCTGGCATCCCAAACAGCTTGTGAAATTTCACTATGGCTTCCTTGAATTTTTCAGTGTCCTCATCCTCTTTGATGCCATTGATTTTGTTGTACTCAGCAATGATGCCCTGGTAGGGAATAAAAAAAGAACACATCCTGTTAGTGGCCATGGGCTATAAGATATCCTAATTCCCATTGCTATCCAGGCCACAGGGCACTACAGTTATTGCAATGCCAAGGAAGTTGTTCAGTGAGCTCGTATTGTTCTGCTCACTCTTTGGCTTATGTAGTTATTTACTTTATTCAAGGCTTTCTTTTTGAAGATCTTACTCTGTACTGTGCCTATGTCAAAGCAACCAAACAGCAACCACTTGCCAGTACCTTCTTTTAAATTAACCAGACTAACTCAAATACTCTTAACAGCCCTGTGAAGCATCTATGATGTGCAGTATTTTCCTCTTCCTCCTTCCTGAGGAGACAGACATAGCATTTCACATGAAACTTTTCAGAAGGGAAGGAAAAAAGTAAAAATTTTCTTAAGGGAAAATTTTGTATTACTTCTATGACCCCTTTTATTGGACCTTGAGCATAGAAGAGGAGCAAAGGGTTGGGGGGCAGGGGGAGAAAGAAGAAAAAAAAATATTCCATTAGATTTACTAATAAGATGGAAAAAAAATTCCCACTTTCAGGTGGAGATGACCGTCAGGAAATTTGAAGAGGCAACACGTGAAAAGATGTTTTTCCATATTTTTAAAGACTATGATTCATTCTGTTCTATACTAAAGCTCTGTTTTATTTGCTTATTTTCCCAATCTCCTTTACAACAATCTCTATTGTCTTTTATATACAAGTTATAAAATTTTTGCCTTTTTTGTGACTTTTTTCCTTCAACTTGCTCCATATTTACATGAAGAGCAGAGTATAACACAGAGAACCATTGTTCACATTTAGTATTCATCCAACTCTAAGAAGTAACAATTTCCTTAAGGATTATACTTCAAAACACAGATGTCTTCATATATAAGGTATTTCCATGACCATCTATAGCATTCATACCTGATTTACTGTGGAAACACAGGCAACTGTGGGATTTGTAAGGGAGCTGATTTACTATATGAAATGTTAAAAGAGGAATGAGACAAAGCCAATACTTTGAACACAAACCAGTAAATACAGCAACTTTTCTTACAATCTTTGAACAAAGTATGCATTTTTAGATAATTCTTAGTACAAAACAAAAGTACTTTTTGCCAGTATAGTTATTATCTGACCTATTAAGAGAAAAAGAAATTCTGAGAAAGCCAACACTCCCACTTCCCACCAAGCAAACAAATCAATGAAACAGCAACTCTTAACACCTATATGAAGTGTAAATGCCAATACTACAAGATTTAACTACACAGAAGAGGGGGAGGAGACATTATGAGTGCATGAAAAAAAAAAATTAAGCCTTGCAATGGAAAAACAGACAACTGTCAAAGTTTAAGACAGTGCAATTAATTTTAGAACTTACAATGCCTTAAGCCCTGCCTATATTTATATGGGTTTTTTAAAAATTACACTGCTCTAAGCTACATGCACTATTCCCAGTTTCCCTGATTTTTACACACGTGTTGCTACTTAGCATCTGGTAGTCCTTCAAAAAGGCAGAGCAGCCTGAGGACTACCAGCTCCAATTTGTTTCAAATTCACATCACTTGTCTTTTCCCAGTCATATTTATCACTAACAACATTTGCAGTAATTAATACACTACCTGTATTTTTCCTCTGACAAACGTATTTATGTCATTCTCATTTTCAAAGATTGAAAGAGTTTGCAACAAATTCTGTTCCAGCCATTCCCAGTGTTCAGTGATTTCCTTCCTCGAGCAACCTATATAAAAAACAAACCAAAAGTCACAAAATAAATAATTCACTAGTGTCAATGTCCCTTCAATCACAAACAAAAAACTCTAAGAAAACTTGCCAGTAAGCGGAGATGCAATATTTCACTAGATGCTGACCTTCTGGAAATTCCAAAATTTTCTCCCATTTGTGTTTAATTTAACAACTCCAATGAAGGCAACAGAATGCAACATTCTGTGCAACTTCCAGGGGAATGTCACAATTCTGCTTGTAGTACAGATACATAAATCATGTTGCAGAACAGCCTACATATGTTATCAATATTTCAGAACCACAAATGATCACCACTGCTACTTCTCCTTAAAACTACTGGATGCAATCAGACCTTTCTAGAACTCAGGAGGTAGTCTGAACACTATTTTATCTCTTATTGGCTTTTACACTGCTGTAAAAAGCAATTATTAAATGCATGAACTATGTATATAAAACTAATCATCAGAAAAATTGCTTAGCTTGTAAGAGCAGTGACAAGCAGTGAAGACACACTATCATGATGAACTACTTCTTAAAGCTATTTCTTTCTGGTGTGGTTCATAAATTATTTTTCACCACTTCTTCAGAAACTGCTTTGGCTGATTATTCTCAACCTGTAACAATACATCTCCTTTTTTCCCCACTGCTTTTTGTCTCCATTATCTCACTATTTACTCTCCCAGTCTCCCCTACAGCAGATCATACAATCAGCCCAAAACCTGCACCCCAGTTATCAACAACTCATCATGACAGGCTAGGTCTTTCTCTTTGCTTTGTTCAGGGCTAAAATACATACTTGCTGCAATGTTTTAAACTACAGGTTATTTTATTGCTGTTACTGGAAAGTTTTTACCTATCTTAGCACATTAAAAGTAATTCCCCATTTTACCAACATTGGCCTTTTAGGTAAATTAAGCAATAACTCTGACTCTCAGGAAAGGGGAAGAAACCAAATTTAACAGTTAAAACACTGCACTTCGAAATACAGAGCCCTCAAGACTGGCAGGAAATAAAAATGAAAATAGCTACAACATAGCAACTTGCATGAAAATGCACATAATTGCCATTACCACAAAAAAACCTACAGCAGTTCTATACCTGAAAAACACACAACGCCACTGTAAAAAAAATTGACTTTATAGGTGGAGAAGGATCTAAAAAAGTTGTTCACTTCCAAACAGAATTTAGATATAGCACCATTTTCACCTTAAACTGAGCATAGCACACTGGGGGGGACACTGGCATGGGACACAGGAGTGCTACTACAATATGAAAGGCTGATTGTGTACAGCATTTTGCATTCCTAGACCATCAATTGTTCTTGAAAAGTAAATAACAATTCTCCTGTATAACTGTGACACCTTTAACTCAACCCTGCACTGGAAAAAGGGCTGTTAGCAAGACTTCTCCCCAGAGCTACCAGCCAGAATCCTCACATAGCCTAGATCAGCAGAGTTAATATCCAAGAAAATTCACATCCAAATCTGTCTAAATTTAGAGCAGACAAACCCCCCTGGATTACTTTCATCCTGAGAATACTCTTGTACTGAGCAAGACCAAATGTCATGAACAAATCATGAAACAATCACATTTCTTTGAGTAACTCTGTACAGCTGCTTACTGAAGACGGAGATTAGTTCTTTATTGAAGGCAGAGAAAAAGACAAATTTCTGTAAAAACAGATTACAAGTACCAAATATCCAGCAGTCTAACCTCAGAGAACAGGGAGGGACAATGCAGGACAAATTAGAGTTGCACAGCTAAATGCAGCCAAAGCCCTTAGTAACCTGTATAATTTTAACAACCCTTGATCAGTTCAAAAGGAATTGCTTTAGTTGCAAATTCATAAAATAACCACAGCACAGAGCCTTAGGGAACACTGGGCTACTCAGCTTCAAGGTTGCATAGATAAATTATTTCCTCTCTGTAAAATTTTACCTCCCTGCAAGATCCACACTATTCCCCTCAAGTGACAAGACTACACTAATGCAGTCTTTTAATTTAACCAAAACAACTAAGCTATCAACCAGGTATTATGAGACTAAACATTTAAGAAACACTTCACAAAATGGAATCACAGACATATAAATTAACTACATTAGCAACTTCAATTAGGGCTAAGATTCATAACTGAAGAGCATGTTTATTAATACTAGCTTAAAATGAAGACAGAGTAAGAGTACTTCTACATAAAATCCACAATATCTTTCTCAGAAGAAAAACAAAATTCTCACCACTCAGCAGCACCATAAATTTCTACATGTATGATACATTTATTTATTCTAAGGCCGTAACTCATAACTATTCCTTCCATTTTATTCCCCTGTTTATCTTGAGGGCACACTGCAGGTATAAAATTAGTCATTATCTATAGGTGTCTTGCAAAAAAATCTAAAGAGAAATCACATGGCCTATTTCCAAAGTCTTAAAAATCATTTCTGAATACATGCACAGTATAAGGTCTTTGAAGAAACATTACTTTGTTGGGAGCTTTGTGATATGCTATTTTCTTTGAAAGGGAGTCTGCAAATAGCAAGAAAACTTGTGTCCTCAGCAGCCCCCTTTCAAGTTTATGGGATGGAGGTGGCTACTAATTGCTGTGTGTAACACTGACTTGGTGGGGGGAAGGGGCTGGAGACAGAGACCACTCACCCCGGTGGTCATGTGGCAACACACAGAGATTATTCTCCAGCCCTTCCTTATAAAGGGCATTTGAAAAACCTGGTCTGGATATTTTCATTGGTCTGATCCCTACACCCCTTCAGGTTCCGGCCAGCGAAATGCCTGCAGCCTTGGGAGAGATGTGATTGGGCGAGGCACCTGTCAGTCAACCCAGGGGCTGGTAAATTCACACAGCACCAGCCAGCTTGTACTGTGCCATGCGGCAACAGCTGTGCATGACATCTGGATGAAAATAAATAAACATACAGGTAAAATAAACTTTCACCATTCTTTCTCTTCTGAGATCCATGCAAAGCTGACATGCATTACTTATGGTCACAGCAGAGTAGCTGACAGTAAAAAGCTTGTTAAATGCAGATTTGGGAACAACCTTCATAATACTGACAACTTTGTTAATATCTGGTTTTTGTATTAGCTGCCACCAAAGGTAAATTATGTTATATGAATTTTAAAATCTTCAGGGAGTTGGTACTAAAGGGTGTAGAGGGGAAAAAGGTTGTTTGAACTGATGCCTTCTTTCGGATCTGATACTATCAAAACCAGTAAGAAATACTTGTGCTAATAAGAGCTATTAGCAAAACTTCCTGTTGGATTCAGAAGGTGACACAGCTTTGATATCACCTTTTGTTATAAATGAGAAGCTTGACTAGGCCAATATTCAAGCAGCAATCAATTTATTAATTAATATGGTAAAGTACAAGCAATACAGTCCTGTGTACAGTGGGGGAAATTTTCCCTCCAACTGCACACCGATAGTTGAGGCTTACAGATATTTACAGGGGTAATCATAAGCTTTCTCAGCAGTTTCTATTCCCAATTTTTACGTCACAATTCTACACACTATTGTGATTTAGTTTTTCTCAGGATGTATCCCAGAAAGGAGTATCCCCAGATGGTGGAGGTCCAGCTTCCAAAAGAAGAAAGAAGTCTCCCAGCTGGTGAGGTCCAGACTCCAGATGTGGCTCCACCTTTTAACTGCAAGGACTATAAATCTCATAACAGTGATGTCCAGCTTCCCTTGGATGAAACTATCAGTCCTTGAGTTGATGTTCGTCTTCCTTTCTTAAGCCGCTTTTCACTGTTTTGTTAAGGCGTCAAGATAAGCATGTTTCCTTTTTATATGTTCCAAAGCTATAGTTTCAAAGATCCTTACTACAAGCAATATTCTAAAATTATACTTCAAAAGGTTATTATTGCAAAACTCTTTAAGGCTTAGCTACAAGCAGAAAGTTCCTGTCAAACAGCAACATCCTTAAAGCTTTAATTCGAACGCTCCTAAATCAACTTAAGACTTATAAAGGTTAATTGCAAACAAAGGACAGGTTCAAAGGCCTTCTTCCATGCTTTACTTCCTCAGTTATTTATTAGAATTGTCTTTATAACTGTCCCATGGTCGGTTTCCACACATATCACAATCACAGATACACACGTTGCCTGGATGTACCTGACACGAAACACAGCTTTGTATTTCACACTTTGCCAGACACAGAAATCATATGTGCCTAAGAACAGAGCCTGGTTTGAACTAAAATTATTAGATCTGCAGCAAACTTTCATCTGTTTTTCCTTCTCTTTCCTTCCCAAGAGGGTATTTGTCTGGAGGAAAATTCATCCAAATAATCTAAATGTCAAATTTCATTGGGAGAATGGGCACTAATGAAGTGGCACAGTTAGTCGAGAAGAAGCCTACAGCATCATTAACCAGTATTTTTGAATGTCAGGCAGCAGTGGGGGTGCTGGAGGTTACCAGGCCACTAAAGAGATGACAGGCATGTATGCACTTCTCATTTGTTCTCTCTTCTTAATTCTCTTCCAAATTAACAGAATTTTGGCTGCTGCCAAACACTTTGTTGCCAGTGAAACTTTTGAGCTGGAGGAGCTGCACTGAAAAGTTTTCATTTGACAAGACTGAAAAGCAATACTATCAAACCAATGATCTGACCTGACAAGCTTGGCCAATCAAAGCTAAATGATTTGCATCTTCTGCACTGAACTCCAGACACTATTTTCAGAGACAGCAGACAAAACCAGAGACTAACTCCATTCTGTTTAATGTTACTTGCAATAGGTACCTGACCACAGAAATAAACATTTAGTACAGCATCTGATACACACAAAAATCCTATTTAATGTACAAAAATATAAACTCAATTGTTTTCACTACTATAATGACAAAAGGAGCAGTCTTACTGCTAGATCTGTCCAAGGTGGAGCATTAAAGACCAAAACTCTTGAAAGTTGTTGCATCTGTGTAAGAACATATACTTCTGTAGTTAACTTTAATCTAGCTACCATCTTGCTGAATTCTAAGTGCATCATACATAGAAGACCACACACTGAAATAAACATCCAGGAGGCAGGGCATCCCTGGGATCTAGGTGTTTGTCCTGGGGGAGACAGGAAATGCCTCACTGCTATACAGTATTTATGTGAGTGCTGGGGCTGCACTTTCTTCCTGGTTATCATTGCAAGGGAAACCAGGTGCCCTCTCTGGGTAACTGGGTGCTATAATCCAGGTACTCCTCCCACCATTCTATTTAGAGATACCCCAGTGCCCAGGAATGCTGCACTTTAGAAGTGCTGTAGGAGTGAGCCCTGGGCATAAAGAAGAGCATGCAAGGAGGAGGAATTGGTACTGCTGGTCTGGGAACACCTTTGGGAGAAGAAAAGTGGGAAATAGATGTTTAGATGTTTTGTCCCTGCTCCATGGCCATTTCTGGTTTCATTCAGTCATTATGCTTAACACCCCTCCCATCCCGCCCCTGCTGGCATTCAAAGTCTGACTAGCAGAAACTCTGGTGCCACTGAATTTTACCACTACAGCAGCACTTCATTCTGACCCATTTATTTGTCCTGACACGACTGTGCTCAGCAGGAAGGATGCTCTCTTATTATGTTATATGACACAGTACCCAGGAAGAATAAAAATCCACATCAGTGCATTTGCCCTTACCACATGCAATTGTCCAGTAGACCAAGGAGTCTGGTGCTTGGTAGAGGATTCTGTATGGTGCCACTCTGGCACTGGAGTCCAACACAACATCAAGAGTACCCACAAGGAGACCTGTAGAAGAGGAATTTCTGATGAACACACAGCGATGGAAAATTCAAGATCCCATAGGAGAGGGCTCTGCAGCGCCTCCCCACTCCATTTCACCTCCACAGCAAAATGCAGATCTACATATTTGTCCTCACACTTGTTGTCTCAGGCTGTAAAGAGGAAGAGTGATTTAACAGGGAAACATCTTCAGCTTAAACACTTCAACTCTTTAATGTACATTGATGTAATGTACATCAACATAAAGACAGGCAAACAGAAGCAAAGCAGAAGGTAGTTGTGCTATAAAATCATGTTTAAAAGTTATTTAGTTATTTCCTGTGTTTCATACACTGCTGGAACCCTGAAGAGTAAAAAACCTACCAACTACAAACCCTCCTCCAACACCAACAAGAAATCCCAGACAATACATCCTAGAAGGGTTCAAAACTAGAATGTCACCTAGGTAAAACTAAAGACTTCCAGCAAAAATAATTGTGCTACTTAACAGTCTTGATTATTTAGGGTAGAAAGGATCAAAATGCCTTAAGAGTCAAGCGTTTTTCAGATGAAAGGATACTGAGGAAAGACAAAGCCATACTGTTTTCCAGAAGTAGCTTTGAAAATTCTTTGCTACTGAGAGAGCCACCAACAGTCACATACCAAAAGCTACCAATAATTCCTAACTATGTCTCCACAAATTCTAGATCCTATTTTTATAATAAACTATACTAAAAACAAAACTCTACCAAACTCTCTGCAAGAAGGACCTATTTATTTTTAAACTATGTCAAAGTTTTCCCATTTTCCATCTCAAAAAGAATTTTCCTCTCCCTGCAGAGATGTCTGATTTAAATTTTCATGTTGAAGTTCTCAGAAAATTGTTTGGGAAAAAAAACCCCTGAAATATATAAACAACAAATGGATGAACTTTCAGAGATGCTTTTTGGTGAAAATATCTATTAGGGTAGGAATTAGAGGTTTTTTCCCAAACAGCTGAAATAAACTGCATGCACCAAAAACATTTTAAAACTCTCCTGTTAGAAGTTCTCCTTTCAAGTCTCATGTGTTCACCCTTTATTGTCATAGTTTTATTAGTTCCTCATCTTTCTCTGCTGAAACCAGTATATGCAATACTGCTTCACTTGCTGGTCCTTCAAATTTGTGCTGTGCATTAAAGATATAAAAGCAGTACTCTTTTTCCATCTCAGTAGATCCCTCAAATGTGAACTGAAACTGATACTAAGAAATACCCCACCCACCAGTGATTTTGTATTTCCCCCATTCTATCTCTTTTATTTGTATTTTGTTTTATACACATCTTCTCAGGTCGGATCAGCTGCAATCTCCTTCTGCTCAAAGAATTAACATGCACCACTTCTTAATCCAAGAATTATGCAAGACACGAGAAACAAGTCTGGGCACAACATCAGGCCATTAGTAAGGTGTGCTACAAAGCTATCTTACAATTATAGGATACAAACACGAAATATGAATGTAAAATATCCCAATGTACATTAGTCTCACTAGCTTTAGTTGCCCCTCATCTCTCACATTTTGATTACTGGTTGTACACTGACAAGCTCCCTCTGAACAATTCTCCACCAGCCCTTCTAGATACACCCTGGCTCCTTTCAAATTCAGGAGAATGAAGTAGGTTAAAATGTACCTTTTTTTTTTCCTCTTCATCTGAGCTTCACAAATGCAGTATGGCCTTGGCCCAGAAAGCATATGTCACTTCAACCAAGGGCAAAATCCTCAAACACATAAAGCTGCCAGTACTGTTCAACTAAAGTGGGGACCAAGCCAGACACTACACTATGTTCACCATCTGGGTTTGCTGCAAATACAGCAGAATATTTTCTTTTTGCTTTTCAGTATCACATGACTACTGACAGTAATAAATATGCAATAGGCATGATGTAATATCTGAATAAAGTTGTATGCTGGCCAAATGCAATCTTCTCTGAGATACAGAAACACTGTTTATTCCCTGTATTCATTAAAAATATGCTTGTTTCTTTCCTCCTGCAGTATTTCCAAATTCATTTGCATGTGGGTGGTCCTGCCAAACAATTCTGCCCCTAGTTCTTGCAGCGCTGTAGAAACTGGGATAGGCAGGTAAGACCAGGAAGTCAGAATAAACTGACTGACTTGTATAGCAACATCAGGTTCAAAGGAACTTCCCATCCTACTTTCTTCTCCCCTGGATATGGTAGACAGGAGAGGAACATCCCCCTGTGCCACCAAACACTGCAAGACAGAGCAATGTATTTAAGAAATGTGAAGAGAACTATGAAAAATAAAACACCAACAAAAGAGAGAAGCCAGCAGTGACTGAAACAGCAGATGGCAGGGAGGAAAGGAAAAGCAAACAAATCCTTTCCAACGGTGCAGTAAGTGGGAGTTGTTCAGGGGCTTTTCAGTAAAAAAATTGAAAAAATAACCGGCTATTGAGGTCAAAGGAAGAAATCTGACAATCGCATGGAAATTCAAATCTGAGCTTACCAAGGTAACTGCAAGTGACATTTATCAGTAACATTTTACTTGTATCATGCGATAGCTGTTTTGACAGACAATACATGTGATACTGAAAAAAAGCATGTGTTTGTATCACATGGAAACTCGTGCAATCGTGCAGCTGGGCCTGCTTGCTCTCCTTCATGAACTGTTCCTTTTCGTGTTGTTAGGTCAGTGTCAGTTGTTTTGGGTTTGGGTATTTGTTATTTGGTTGGGTTTTTTTGCAATGCAGACATGTGACGCAACCAGAATGAAATCACAGCAGTTCATACTGATAATTTGTTTGAGGAGTTTCTACATGAAGTAAAAATGAAAATTAAAAAAAAAATATTAAGAGAATTTTAATACTGTTCATTAGCTCATTAATTCTTCATGTTGCAAGTACCTTTTCAGATATGATTAAGTAACTGAGTTTCTATAGAAACAGAACAGGCAACTAAGAATCATATTCCTTATATTAGACATTAGACTGGCCCTTGGGCAAGAGCCAGTGAATTACCCAGGCATCAAACCACATGACTATACTAACTGCAATTTTTCCCACATTATTTCATCAGGTTTCTGACTGCATAATGAAATAAGGGGAGAAATTTCCAATGTAAGAATACTAAATCTACAAGCCCTTGTTGAAGCAAGATGTTTTCATGAGACAAAACACATGGTATAATTTGTAGGATTAGCATCTGGCCAGTTGATGGGAGCACCAATCCTGCAGGTGCTTGAGCACGAGTAACCATTTATGTATAAACAGCCCCATCACACACACGTGCCAAATTTCTTGAGCAACCATACCTATAACATGGGGCAGGAGGGGAAAAGGGAGGCATAATGCCTTCACTTTACTTGATACAACTTTTTAATAAAATCAGGTTCCTCTTTTGCAAACTTGAATTCTAAAGCGAAGGTCCAGAAGATTGATCAATATTGTCTTTTTCCATAAAACACAGGCATTAACAGAGGAAAAAGAATGATATGTAATATCTGGAACCAGGAAATACAAAGCCACAATTGGCTGAAGGCCTGGGCAATCGCTCTCACATCATGTTACTGGAAGGACATACAATGCACTAGAGGGAATTACTGGAAAACAGGTTCAGTTACCCGATGCACTTTGTGCTGAAGGAAGAAACCACACTACATTTTACTTAACTGACCACATTCAGTGGTGGCTCACATTTAGTCATAAGCTGGAGGAGAAGCCTATAACCCTTGCAGAAAGTACAGATTAATAGTTTATATTCATTAATTAATGGATGATGTGCTCTACTTGTGTCCTTACAACAGCAACCAATTTTCAACCTTGGTTTTTTGCTAGAAGGAATTATGACCATGAAGCCTCACCTCCTCCATAACACAGACCCCCTTCACAAATTATTCCTATCTCACCAAAGGGTATTTTTCAGAAAGACAGGTCATTTTCATTTGAAACCCAAGCCAGTAGTTTCAGCCAGCTGAGATTCTTCCAAGCACCACTGCAGTTCCTTGCTCCTTAGAGACCAGTATTCCAGATGACTTACAGTCCAGACTGATTACAAACTACCCACAAACTGAAATCTAGTGATGACCTGTAGAATCAACCTGATACATTTTAAGCATGCACACCTCAGAGTACACAGACTCAAACACCTGTCGTAAGTCACAGTATCTGTGACTATTTGGACATCCATGGCACAGGTCTTCGCTGCAGGAATATCTCTCTCTCTTCTTTCTTTTATCTTTCATAATAATTTTCAAGTGTCTTTGTAAAACATCAATTACTAGTGTTTTTAAAGGAGAAGCAAGTTTATGCACTGTACACATGAGCAAACTCTTTAGTAGCAAAGGATTTTCTTACGACAAACAGTAACCCTCTTCCACAGAAAGCCATGTTTTCATTTAAAACCACAAAGACTGAGTAGTCTTTATCACCCTTCTACAGTCTCCCCCACAGCAGTACTATATTTGAGAGCTTTTGTGTTTTACCTGTTCAAAGTAAATTGGATTACATGTTCAAAAATGAAGATCTGGATTATATATTACCTCTAGTGCACCTTATTAAAACACTGAAGCCAATGAATTATAATAAATGACACTTCAAAGTTTAAGAACTACCAGCAGCCACAGCTTTGTTGCACAGCAAGCACCAAAAAGCTTGGGATGGTAACAGACAGTAATGCTTCCTAGTAATTTCTAACCTCAGAGTAGAAGTGCTTTCAGCACACACCACGGACCTGTGACACATCCATTCTTCAGTGGCACAGGCAACTTGTGTCACACCTTGCCTCGAGCTGAAGGATGCCACCCTGCAGTTGGTGTCACTGACTGCTGTGCCCTCCCTTCCCCCAGTCTGCCAGAGTGCAAACATATGTTATTCACATGGCTCTTCACAGGGAGAAGAGCCCTGCCCTGTCTCATCCTCCTTCCAGGTCGACAGGAATCCATACCACAAAGTACCTTTTGTTTGAAGATTTTTATCTAAAAATGTATAAACAAACAGCATACATGTTTTTAGCATAAAGAGTAAATAC